GAAGAGAGAAGTGACAGGAGTTTGGAGAAAACTGCATAATGAGGAGCTTCATAACTTGTATTCTTCTCCAAGTATAATTAGAATGATTAGGTGGGCAGGGCATGTAGCACGAATGGGGGAGACGAGGAATGCGTATGGAATAATGGTGGGAAAGCCAGAAGGAAAGAGACCAAGGGGTAGGTGGGTGGACAATATTAAGTGTTAAAGCTTACTGAAATTGGTACCGTGCAGCTTCTTTTTCAGTCGATGTTGTGACATCTTTTGTTTTTTTTTATGTTGTTTTGGTTGGGAATGGATCAAGGAAAACGAATAGGCAACCATAAAATAGAATGAAGGAATAAAAAAAAATCCTCAGATTCTAGCGTGTACCACATCTGCCGAAATTTCATTTTTATGATCTGAAGGAACTGTACTTCATGGACATCAGCGCTTAGTCTTGGCTGTGAACCAATTAATTTTGAAGTTGGTATTCTGGGATTGAGCTTAGAAGTGACGGATTGCGAATGGCTGCCAGTATGAATTCAATTTATATACTACTTCAATACACATTCCTGCCTCTGTTGCTTGTATTCTGATATGTACATTTGTTAGCAAACCAGTATCTTTTGTCTTAACTTGTAGACATAAAGCTTAGAATCTGCAACCCGGTCCAACAATACCATGTACTGCTGTGCAGTTCTGTACACCACTTTCAAATGAACGTTTTCTTTATTTTTCGTTTTTATTTATATTAAAATTACGGTTTGACTTAGAATTTCATTACAGTGATGATGTACTATAAGAAAGCAGCATTTTCTGAATAGTTACGAGTACATTCGACTTTAAATCGATCAATATTATCTCCGTATTTCTTATTGCCCTGTTTTATGGTGTTCTGATTTTTGTTTTTCAGAAATTTTGTGCGAAGCTGTGTGGTTCAGTGTTGACCCTTACATGAGGCAAGTTAAAATTTAAATCTGTTGGGGATCGTCTGCATCCTATCTAACCAATATGCAATTCATAGCCAGAGCATTAAGTTATTACATTGTCACAATGTTAATACATCTTGTATGTACACTGCAAGTTAGACTGTTAAGTGACTGCTTACAACCTTTGATTTTCTTTAGTAATTCCATAAGAACAAACTTTACGGTAATGATATTACATATACAAGTATCCCTTAGGTACAAGGACTGCTCATATAATTGCACCGTAACTTCAGGCAGTCCCAAACTCTTCAGAATCCATACATATTCATACTGTATATGTTTATCGAGAGAGGAAACGTCATGTCAGTCTTAATGAAAGGATATTTCATACTACTATAATCATGTAGTTATTATAGGATTCTAACGATGGTGTATAACAACACACTGATATATTGGGTTTCTGGACTAGCTCTTTCTAACGGACTCAACAGAATAGGTGTTTCCCTTTTCCTTCACCTGAGGACAGAAACAGATCCAGTTTCCGAAACGTCGTGTTTTTATTTGTTATCTTAAAAACCAGGACGATGGATAAAGTCCAGAAACCCAATATATCAGTACTATAATCATATCCACTTTCCTAACAGGATATCTGAAGGGGAGATTCCAATTTGAAGACCTAGGTATACATGGATATAATGGAGCTCAGCTCTTTGAAGCCTTAAGTTCATGCTCAGTCTTCCTACTTAAAACAGTGAGCTAGCCCATTATGGCTCTAGTCTGATCCATAGTAGGCCTTCCACCATTTATGTACACCTTATGCCTATAATGTATTAAATTCCCCATAGCTATATCTTCTTGTGTTCAATGTTTTGTTCTGTATTCATCTGCATTACTTTGGTTTCATAAACATGTTTGTTATCTTTGGTAGATACACCTTTTCAAAAGCTGTTTGCTACTTAGGTCTTAGGCTTACATTTATTTCATGCATGCTTCTGTTGAGTTCATCTGAACTGTATTTAAGAAACTCAGTTACTACCTGGCAGAAAGTAAAATGTATTTCCATTAAAAAGATAAAATAAATATCTGCATATTCTGAGAATCTTTCAAAAGTATAAAATGGGCAAAATTCAGAGTTCTCTGTGTTAGCTGATGACAACTGTTGTGTTTCTGTGCCTGCAGACTGGATTCAATTGACTCAGAATTGTGTCCAGTGGTTAATAGGGTTAATAGAGTAACTTACATTCTGATTGAACAAAACATGGAACGACTATCAGCTGCACAAATAGGACTCTTCAATAGGGAGTATTCTTATCAGTGTGACTTTCAACTAAGGTGTGGTATTGTCCTGTTATAAATACTAATACAGATTTCTTTTTTAGACCTTATACAGCCAACGTTCCTACTGGAACCACTATGATTGGATCCCAAGCTGCAAGGTAAGGACCTTCCAGTTTTGAACAATTACTTGACCTCTCCTCAGCATAATGAAATTCGTTTCCTTTTTATGAATTATAATTATTATTTAAAAGAAGCAATTATGCATGGAATTGATTTTACTCTCACTGCAGAGGCTACCAAAATCCGTTAAGTTATGAGAAGAATGACTCTTCCAGAAAATAAAAGTACAATTTGATTGCAACATTATTTTCGTGTCATTTAGAAACAAATAGTACTTCATCTTTAATGGAATTATTCAATGAGAATAATGGTCACTGAGAATCAGAAAAAGTTGAATGATCCTAATAAACATGTATTTGTAGGCTGGCAGTCCTAAGTGCCCTTCCAACTCACAAAATGGAATGAAAAATCCCGATTTACAACAAGTGGTGGTGCCCTTATACAAAATTCTTATGTTATTTAACTACTCTGTCAGCTGTGCAGGTCGTACACTTTTCAGTGAGATGGAAACATGATCTTAAATGGAGAGTGCCTAATCATTTAAAAGGGAGTGGTCTTTACCTATTTAGAAGTTCTGTTTTGGAATTCTCGTAAAAGGACTGTGGAGGCCCATAGGGTTGTGAGACATGAAGCCTTCCACATTTTCTGGACAGTCAGCTCACAAATTGCAGTGAGGATGTCAGCCTTACATGCCAGCCACCCTTTACTCCCAGGAAGATTCCTGGTACTCATTTCTGTTAGAGACTGAGTCAACCCCAGGTCCACAGCGCGGCTGAAAGGATTAGTTCAACTGAAAATTCAGTGATCTCCTTGGGAATCGAACCTGCGACCTTCTGGCTTGCAGCACAGTGACTCAACCAACTATGCTATCGTGTACCCCTGTATAAAGACTGAGGAAAGCTATAAAAGACCTCACCTTTTATAATTGTACGCCTAGCAATTCTTGCCGCATTACACCTACTGCTACCCAGTAACTCCTTATCAGAGAGCTTCAGCTGTCATTAGTGACATTACTTTACTTGCTGACTACTCTGACAGTGTTTCAGGGTATTGCTGGCAAAAGCGCTCTTTTCCATGTTATAGGAATATTTGGTCATTCTACCATAAACTTGTTCCTCATACGATGTACACATGTTGCATAAATATAGCTTTCTTTAATCTTCAAGGTTTAAAGCAAAATGTTATATCATCTCACAGGAAAATCTCTTTTGATTTTTTGTAGGGTTATTGAAAGTAAGCACCCCGAGTACAAGGTTGGAATCCACGTTGTAGGTCATTTTGGATGGCAGACTAGGAGCATTGTGGATATTGACAACATACCAGCAGCACTGTGGTTGTCAAAACCATTCATCATACCTGATTTTTCAGGATTACCTTTGTCACTTGCACTTGGAGCCCTGGGCATGCCTGGGTGAGTATATTTTTCTTTCCAGAGCATTAATATTTATGATAATTTTATTCAGAACCTAAATTTCACAATACGCAGGATATTAGCACGTGACTGTAAACTGAAAACTGATTTATGATCAGACTTCTCTTGTTTTGTGTTTCACAAATATTGTACTCATATATAGTAATCCAACAACAGAGGAAACCCATCTATTTTAGCAAATAAATAAATGCGAGAGGAAATTCATATTTGAAAAACACTGATGAAATGCTTCCTCATGTCAGTCCAAACTGTAATATGTATCAAGGGCTATTATTGGTGGAACTTAATATGGATTGAGCACTTTTTATTTTTTACTGCAATTATTTATGTGAAAGACATACATCTGAGTTATCTTCCTGTCATAATCTTTGATGTGCTCCTGCACTGAAGACCACTGTAATGCAAATTCTCCTGCTTATGAACTTTAGGGTGACAAGTTTAAGTAACAATGAAAGCAGCATTATATGTAGTTCCGTTTCAAACTGTTTAATATTAGATTATGTACTCTTTCAAAACAATTCTAATACATTTTTCAATCAGTTCATAACAATCACCCTAACACATGAGCCAAAAGTTCCACTATCACCACCTTCTGTTTCAGTGTCTGAACTCATCAAATTAGAAAACAACGTTCATATTGTTATGTGTTTGAGCGACAATAGACGGGCTTCGGATTGAGAACTGGATTTATTATAATCTTAAACAATTCATGACTACACTTCACAGATCACTATTACAAGCAGACTAGTGTCCTCAATCACGATGCCTGGTAAAGGCTTCCAACAGCCAATGTGCCTCTGCGACCATCTCATGCCAACCTCATACTCTGACAGCTGGCTTCAGCCAGTACTTCCTTCAGCTGCTAGCTTCCGGGCTGGACTGACTTCCAACTGCCAATCTCCAACTTCAGCTGTCAATTTTCTACTGGCTTCCTAGCTGAACTGACTACCAACTGCCAAACTAAGTCACAAAATCAAAGTTATGTTACGACCGACGGTCAGTTGGCCAGTCTTTCTTGGTGTCAAGCCGCATCTGGGGCCCAAGACGAGATTTTTGTTACTGTTAAGCTGGGTATCAATTGTGCATGGCTGCCGCAAGAGGCAATGTTCGTTGCTTTGCCTCGCAAAGTTGATACGATGTTGCTCCTTGCAGCAGAACAAACACTGCCTTGCGCGAACTTGGCGTGTGTCGAGCCAAATCGGATGGGTGCTTAGTCCCGCAGCAAAGGGAATTCAGTGTGCTGTACTCTTTCAGTTGAGACGCTCTTGTCGCGTCCTGGTGTTTCTTTCGTGGCAAAATGGAGAATGAAAAGTATTTAGCTCTCATACAGCTTTATAAATCTAAAGAGGTGTTGTGGAATTCAAGAAGTGCTAATTACCATAACAAAAGTATACACCAGGACGCATGGAAAGACACAGGTGATGAAATAAAAATGCCAGTTCAGGATTTAAAAAAGACGACAGCTTCATTGGCTTCATACAGAGGAGAAAAGTCCCGAAGTAAAAAGTCTCACATAATTTACTCTTGGCTCAATCAATGAGGTTGTGTTTGAAATCCGATAATAACATTCGCGTGAAATTTTTAACTATATCTTCCACTAATCCAAATGTAATATCTCGCATAAGTCTATTTCCACATTGCATTCGCTGACAATACAATTCTTTCATCCACCAATGCACTTTTCGTTTCGGTTTCTTTTTTTGTTGGATAATGTTGAATATGAACATAAAGGCAGCCGCTGCACGTGCAGTGTTCATGGTGATCTTGCGAGAACTGAGGAACAGCGTCCATCAACAACCGCACACTGCTGCCGCGCTTTGAAGCTGGACATGAACAAGGTAAACAAATGAAAGAGTTTGTCGCCTGCAAACAGCTGCGCGCAATCGATATCCAGCCTTAGACAGTTGCGGGTTTGTTCATGTGAGGCCCCCTCTCCAAGGAGAGGGAAGGTCTGTCGTTTACAATTGCTGCTGGCTCTCGCATACGTTGCTTAGTGATGGCTGTGGTATTGTTGCATGTTTAGTTTATGAAGCTGTTGCCTAGCAGTGGCTGTTTGTGTAGCTTCATTATTCTAGCTATCAGACCTCTCATTACAATTTGAACAGTAAATGCACATTACATTAACAGTGATGAATCAAGAATTCCAGTGTTAACAGTTCAACTTTTTCATTCCTATCTCTTACAACATGACATCCTTTCTTGTTATAAAATATATTGTTCTTGTGACTCCAGGAATACTGCATACTTTGGGTTTCTTGAAATATGCAAACCAAAACCTGGTGAAGTTGTGGTAGTCAGTGGGGCTGCAGGAGCAGTTGGTAGTCATGTTGGACAGCTTGCAAAAATAAAAGGTAAGTCCATTATCTAATTCCTGTGCATAATGAGATGCACTAAAAACAAAACCACTGACACACAGAGATGCAGTTTCACTAATAGGACCACATGTTAATATCACATGACCTGAATAGATGTTTTCTTAATCAAAAAACTTTTGAATACATTCTGAGGAACGAAAATATTCATTGTATTTTGGAATACAATCGTGTTATTTAAACACTGCATTGATTGCAGTTGTTGAACTTCCATCTCTCAGTCAAAGAATAAGTTTCAAGTTGTGCTACATGCTTATCAATAGTTGATGAACGTGGTTATTAATAAAACTAAACTTACAGGCTTTCAAGAAACTTATTTTATCAGATAAAAATTAAGACTGTATTATAAACTCATCCAGTCCCATCTTGTCTAAAAGTTATCTTCTCCTGTAAGCCTAACATGACCTTCTAGTCCATGCAGGTGAGCAGATACTACATCAAGCTTATCTGAAACCATTATCTCTACTGGAATTATTGTTATGCGAATGAATCTTAGTGACCTTCACTAGGCAGTCCATGTACTCTAGCTAATAGACAGTGTATCAAATATGTGTGATATATATGTTTCATCATCAGACAGTGAGGCAGAATGTTATGTCATCATTAGAATGTTCTATAGTCATTTCCTCTTTTACTGCATATTTAGATCACTGGAGATGTGTGTGATGTGCAGATTCCTTGCATATGGTGTATGTGATATGCAAAGTTAGGTTAAGCAACACAGAAACATCAGATGACTAGGAAGTCTACCCTGTATAGGATGGCACTACACATCTGCAGCCTAAGTATAATAATATGCAGACACAACAAATGAGATGGCCCAGTCTATTTTGATTTGCCACGTAAAGCAGCACTGAAGTGGATCTTACTGAGATGTGTTCATATGAGTATTTGACTGCAGTCCCTGTCCTGCATATCTCATTGCCCGTCTTTAAATGCAGAGCCTTGTTGATGTAGGCAGGCCTCTATCCAGAACATTGTTTCCCAGTATATCATTTTCTGATGATGAAGATGGAGAATGACTCTAAAATGCTGGACTTCAAATCTGAACACACCTGGCATGCCACCCGCAAGAATATCTTATCGTTCTTAATTGCCATGAAAGATACTGTTATAAAACAATGACACAGAGACAGGAGGGATCCTAGGCAAAGCGAGTTGAGCAGTTTAGAAAGTGGAATAAGCATATTGGCCCTGAATCCTACAACTTAAAGATGATTATAGAGGTGCTGGAGATGATGATCCAAATTGCTATTTTCTCTCTGTGAGTACAAAGCTCAAGTTTATGTGCTAGAGAATAAAGAGCTATTTCAATTAATTCATTCTTTCAGGATGCAAAGTTATAGGCTTTGCAGGGTCAGATGATAAGGTGAAATGGCTGAAGGATGAACTGAAGTTTGATGCGGCTTTTAACTACAAGACGAAAGACGTTACACAAGCACTGAAAGAGGCCGCACCAGATGGAGTGGACTGTTATTTTGACAATGTTAGTATTATCCAGATATTACACATAAACTTTTGGAAAATGTGAGAATAAATTCACCTCATAGACTTCACCCCTCACTCAAAGAGTTCTTTGCACGATGAAGTGGTTTCCCAGTTTTGGGAATCACCTCAAGATAGTCAGTTGTAAGTAATCAACCTGCATGGGGAAAAATTTGTGGCAGAACTCAAAATTAGAAATTTTATTGTATTGAGTAGCAAGATTGTCTATGATGGAAGACATGCACTCAGAAATTCATGCCATAAGTGATTTTCAGTAGCATTAGCACCAGATAAAGTTTTCCTTAAACTACTTGGCCAAAGGCATGTTTCTTTTTATGTAATGTTGCTAAACATATAAAATCATGTAGGATTAGAATGAAATTGAAGTATGCAAATGCAGTTTGTATTTACTGTTAAAATATAATGGAGAAAAATTACATCATATTCTAAGAAGGAGAAAAAGTAAATTATTTAATTAGAACTGGGTGGCACAGTTGGCTTTCTGTTGATGCAAATGTGAAAACTGATTTAAAATGTCTCAATATTATTACTCAGTTCAATACAACTTTGTAGCAGATGTACTACATAGAAGGGCAGCACCACCACCACAACTGTTATCTGCATTGTACATCAATCACTACTTTAAATTAGTTAAACTGAAATCTTAATGTTTTGTAGGTTGGTGGTACACTGAGTAGTGCTGTCATTGCTCAAATGAGAGAGAGAGGACGTATTTCAGTATGTGGTTCCATTTCTTCTTACAATGAAGACATCAGCAAAATTCCCTTAGGTGAGTTTGATGGACATAATTAACGTGAAACCTATTTTACAAATTTCCAATGCCAGAAAATCAGTGGGGCAGATAGGAAAATGTATAAATAGATGTTGTCACGTGTAGGGGGGTACGCGTGATGAATAAAACAGGTTCTACTTTGGATGGTTGGATTTATTAGCTCTTTCGTTACACTCTCACTCTTAATTACAATTAATACAGCGCTATCGCTGATTTAACACACTTTACATTTCACCGTTGCACATGCACTGGGATTCTCGGTTTCCATTATTTCATAGCAGAGTATCTCAACACAGAAACTAGCACTTCAACTCACTATGACGTCTTCTTGCTATTTCATCTTCAGTCACTCTGGAACCTCAACTAAAAATTCTTCTGGACTCACTCCTCCAGCTTATGAATGACTCGTAACTGCCATGAACAAATCCTATCACTCTTAGTTATACAGCTGTGAAAACCTCAACTAAAAATTCTTCTGGACTCACTCCTCCAGCTTATGAATGACTCGTAACTGCCATGAACAAATCCTATCACTCTTAGTTATACAGCTGTGAAAACCTCAACTAAAAATTCTTCTGGACTCACTCCTCCAGCTTATGAATGACTCGTAACTGCCATGAACAAATCCTATCACTCTTAGTTATACAGCTGTGAAATGGACATCGACCTACAGTAAATATATCACGCGGCTGCTATCCCAATTGCTATTCTGGTTGAGATTTGAACCCTTGATATCCTGGATATGAAGTAGAGGCGGGCAAGAAGACCATACATGATATTTGGTCAGTTAATAGTCATTCAGCCTTTCAATGTATTTATTTCTTTCATCCTGAACCCAAAATTTCTTTACCTTTACCACAAAAACTACAACCAGATATATGTGTGAACCAGCTGAATTCCATTCATAACCTTACAAATTATTTATTCTAAGATCGATTTTAATATTATCCCTCACAATTAAAATTATATGAATATTACTTGATACATGTAATCATTGTCTCTGTGCAGTTACACTGTAATGTTTTATTTCAAGCTCCTATCGTCCAACCTTCCTTTGTATGGAAGCAGCTACGGATGGAAGGTTTCATAGTGAGTCGCTGGACGGACAGATGGGAAGAAGGCATCAACTACAATTTACAGCTGATCAAGGATGTAAGGAATAATCTCAACTTCAGCACATACTGGAGTATTCAACCTACCGCCATGTTGGGCATTGAGTTTCAAATCAAAGTTACATGGCCTTGTAATTTCATGGACTCTTTCTTTAATCAACGTTTCTTCCACTCTCATCCATGACACTATTATGTTATTGTTTAAGAATCATGATCATATATTAGAACAACCAATTTCCTCACTTTGCCACTCTCTGTAACAGTACCAAATGAGTTACCAGCGTTGCAGTCTTGAAGTGCATAAATTTGAACGTAGGCCTAAATGCTGTCAAAACGCTTAGATAGTTGATTATTTATAAAGGGAAGTTTACACTAAATTCCCACGTAAATTCAGTTGTGCTACATTCGAGTTAACAGTTCTGGGTAGTTCAGTCAGTAGTGTTCAGTTATTTTATAAGGATTCAGTTGTCTACCCTGAACATTATTTTCAGTTTCTAAGATATGCCTAACTCTACTGATATGGCAACAGCCAGTGTCATGGAATTTTAATGACACCCAGAGCTGCTACAATGGTTGGAACTGTTCAGTCTCAGGCAATTCGGTGGCAAATTTGCATACTCAATTGTAATTTATATTCATAATTCAAAACAAAACAACCAAATCACATATATGACAAATAATTACAACAAAAAACTGAAAATAAGCTTTTCAGTGATATATGACATATTATTAACATGGACGATCTAGAAATCACTTAAGGCTATTTCCTGTAAAGAAACTGAATTCACACTGTAATAGTACGTGTATTTTGGAAAATGACTGCTCTGTTAATGTATGCCCTTCTTCACACTGGCAATTTTGACAGAACTAAATGCCCCAGCATGATGAACATACTGCTATGTGTACATGGTGATCACATTCGAAATGTGACTATGGTTGCAGGTGGTAAAGTTGCATGCCATGAAGATGACTAACGTATTTTCCTTACTATTCCAGTATTCTCTAACATTAACCTGCTCAACCCATGAGACATCACCATAAGAAAAATATTCCCCAACCAAAAATTTAATCTGGGTACTTTCAATATATAGTTCAAGCTCTCTCACTGTTAAATGAAGACTACAGATGTTGTGAGTTGTTACAATTATTACTGCTATGTTTCTTTGCAGGGTAAACTGATATATCGTGAAACCGTGACTGAGGGATTTGAGAACATTGCAAAAGCATTCATAGAAATGTTGCAAGGAGGAAATGTGGGGAAAGCTGTTGTGAAGGCTTGAACTCTGGATCCTATATTGCCATGATACTGTTACATCATGTAACAATAAAAATAGCTGTGCACACAAGAGATACTGGTGCAGATGCCAAAAGCAGTGATTTGGGAAAATTATATAATATGTGGGGCTGAATTTGATCAATATACTGTGTAAGAACTCTTTCACCCATCAACTGATGGACTGTGAACTTCAACATTAACTGTTATTACAGAAATATCAAACTTATGACATTTCAATTGCATTTTCATATACAATACATTACAGATAATAATGCAATGTAACTCTTGTCATCTCTTATTTTCTCTTAAATCTACTGAATTGATATTTGTGGAACATTTCTTCAAAATAAAATGCATTCGTTAACACTGATGTGAACCATATTTACAACAACCCAGACAAATCTCTAATTAGAAACAATATTGTATGGAGCAAGCAAGAAACACTATAAAAAGTCTTAGAATTTTTACATCAAGATATTGATTTTACTACAAAGGCCACAGTGTCTGCAGTCTTTTATTTATTTTTTTAATTTTTATGTTTTCAACATATACTATGACATTTTTTCTCACTGTGAGGCAACTGCTTACGGCAGACAGGTATACTGGGTAAATGAAACACGCCATTCATTGTCAGTTCCAAGGTACATTTTCCTGTAATAAATTTAACAGCGACCTAGTAATGCAAAACGATAAACTTAAGATAAAGGCTTAAATAATTTCACTAAGTTTGAAAAGGAAGAATGATGAATTCTGTAATCTACTAGATGTTTAATGTTGTAGCCGTCCATCGACGTACAGCTGCCATGACTATCACTCGAGATGAGTTCTTTGTCTCAGGGATATGGGCTCTTCACTTATGGGAGTGGAACACACTTTGGGGTTCATGAATTACGGGGTCTATAGAACACACACTGTGTATTGCTGTTTTACATTAAAATTGATTACAGTTATTGTTTTAATTATTTTATTATTCTTTTTATTGCTAGTGGGGTGGGACTAAGTCCCTTGTACTGCAGCCACTTCTGGACTATTGTACCAGCCCCAGATGATAGGTGAGGGTGATTGTGGAGCAATTGGTGGAATGAAGATTGGCAGGGGAAACTGAAGTACTCGGAAAAAACCTGTCCCAGCGCCACTTTGTTCACCACAAATCCCACTTGACCAGACCTGCGATCAAACCCGGGCCACCATGATGGGAAGCCAGCGACTAACCGCTTGAGCTATGGCGTGGCCTTACAATTTTTGTTACTCTTTACATAAGTCCTTCAAGCTAGCCACTCCGTCACTCTAAACCTTTACCCACCAATTCACTTCCAGCTCGCTGACCATACACACCACTAGCTCGCTACCCTCCTGTAACTCACTTCCCTGTTCTGCATCTTCATTTCAACTGTCCACCTCCGCTCCCTATAACCAACTGCCTCTCTCTCTCTCTCTCTCTTTTTTTTTTAAGAAGTCCCCCAGTTTGCATTAAACAAGAACAAGAGATAGCTGTCTATCTTAAACCTTTTTAGGTCACCAAGGCACACCCCTATGGGCCGGTCCTGCACAATGCCTACCCATGGATTTATAACACTAGGATCAAACTGGAGATGCTAATAGTGACACTCTAAGCCTGAGGAGGACAATATTGATTTACAACAAGATGGTCCTGTGATGGTGTCTCGCCAGAGTAGCGGCTCTCAGGGTGTGAAAACAATGCATAAATAGGTCATACCCTCAATTAAATAATTTTAGCGAGGGACGTATGGTTATAAAGTGATCAGGAAAGGTGGATTCTTTAATTATTCAGATATTAAAAGCAGGAAGAATACAAATTTGATATGGTATTGAATTTGACATAGAAATTTAAAAGAAATTATGAATTTAAGTTTTATGATCAAGTCTTGTAAAGTGGTACTTTCTATAAAATATTATATGCCTCAAAATGTTGGTTCTTTCATTAAACAAAATTTCATCAACAGCTTAAAAAATGACAGTGTTGTGAGCATGCAAGTATGGTATTTTGTGATTATTTTTTTCTTATGAAATAAAAGAATGGAATATTTACATGTAACTGGAATTATTTAAATTGGCGCTAAAATTTTTAACTCATGAAGAAATATTTACAAATACATTTTATACAATGATGATCATTAAATTAAATTAGAAAGTATGTGGAAGGAAACGTTCATGGCCTCGTAAATGATACTGCCCCAGAATTAGTATTGAGTGTCTGAGGAAATCCATTAGACACCTGTCACTCTAGTTGCTATGCTGGCTGAGATTCCAACTGACTGCCTCCAAAATGCAAACTATATTTGTTACCCACCTGAGACAACTAGCACCAGATCCAATGTGAATGAAGAAGGAATGAAAGTAGGCATGTAACAGAATAAATGGTCTCCCTGAGACTGCAGAGACAGTGAAGTCACTCTGGAAATTCTACAAACTGTAGAGCCCATTATTAAAATTAAGTTAAAATCAAAATAGTACATTGAATTTGAAAAATAAATTGTGATTATTGAATTGATGAAGTACTCGGACATGCAGTGCATATGAAGAGTTCTGTCTTCTGGAATATAATATTGTATAGTCCAGTGAAAGTCAAGCAAGGATTTGGAGTAATACAATCCCCTCTATCTTCTGGGCTAAAAGTAGGCCAAGCAAGAAACTAGAATGAAGCAAGCAGTTTGCTCTGCTTGTTGCTTGATCTATGCTGGTTTATTGCTTGGCTTACATGTCTACCCTGAACATGAGAGTGATGTGTTCCTTTGAAAAATATTAGCCAACTTTCACAAACTATACGGTATCACAGCCCACAATATATAACACTTCGTGGCCACCACTGTAAGAACCTCAAACACAACATGGTGAGCATACTTTAGTGCATTGGTTCTCATAAATCACATAGCAATAAATGGGAAGAATAGTTGTCTGAAAGTGATTGTCTACAGAAACTGCTGAGGACTTGTCCATCTAAACGTTATTCCCTTGTCTAAAGTACAAGATTTTGCCTTCTGTTTCTGAAAAACAGATTTCTGAAGCTGTAGGAGCACCCCTTGTTAGCTGTATGCAACTGTTTATTCAGTATATTAGCAGCTACCCTCCATATCTGGAGGCCATGTACTCCATTTGCAACCTGAGGATGTGCCATGCCATGGTGACAAGGGACTCACCTAACCTGGCAAATTATCTTTTAGCTCTCTTCAGTTATGATTTTTCCTTGCATTCTGGTGATAAGACATCAATATATACTTAGTTTCCTTTGCGGGTTTTCTTCTAGATGGACCTCGCTGTTAGCGTTAAGCAGAGCTTCTGTGTTTTTCTCTAGTAGCCATTTTATTTCGTTGAGTACCATTTTGTAATGACCATTACTTTGTTTCTTTCGGATACAGGTTTAATGAGCCCTGTCAAAATCTGTTGCACTACAGTGACTATTTTTAACATGTCATTTTTGGCAACCTGGAGGCCTGTACTGACAGACCCCTTCTCTGAATTTCCTGTTGTGTCAGATGCTGCTGCATGGGAGTCCGCAAACTTCTCCCATATGTCTGCATCCTCCAGCTTTTCCCATATGCCTTCAGTGCACCTAAAATAGACCTACACAGAAGGCGGGTAATTACATGAACTGTGCTACGAGTAACTTCTGTTCCACACAAGTAAAGGTAAAGGGCAAATTTATCCCTGTGCCTAAGCTAGCAATACGCCCTGAAAATGAGTTGGGAAGTGGCTATATAGCTCTGTCATTCAACGCTAGATGAAGGCGAGTGGTGAGCTTCACGCCCCTGCCGCCTTATCCTCGTTCTCATAGAGTTTGGGATAACCATGAAACTAGTTAGACTGATTAAAATGTGCTTAAATGAAAGGTACAGTAAAGTCCATATAGGTAAACATTTGTCTGATAATTTTCCTATCCAGAATGGTCTAAGACAAGGAGATGCTTTATCACCACTCCTTTTCAAGTTTGCTTTAGAATATGCCATTAGGAAGGTCCAGGAAACCAAGTGGGACTGAAATTCAGTGGAACACACCAGCTTCTGGCATATGCTGATGAACTGAATCTACTGGAAGATAACATAGATATCATAAAGAAAAACACACAAACTATAATTGATGCAAGTAAGGAGCCTGGTCTAGAAGTAAACATAGAGAAAACTAAGCATATGTTGCCATCTGCCAGCAGAATTCAGGCAAAATCATGATATAAAGATAGCTAACAGAGCCTCTGAAAATGTGGCACACTTCAGATACTTGGGAATGACTATTACAAATCAAAAATGCTTGCTACCATTGAGTCCAGAAACTGCAGAAGGTGAGCAAATATGATACTCGTACAATGTCTTATCAGAGTGATAAAGTGAGTATCAACTGATATGGCAGATTACTAACATTAAGTGATGATAAACAAATATAAAATATTTAGAGCAAATTCATGCTGTTATGACAGGAAATTTGAAGAGTCAGTATCTACTTAGAAAACCTAATTTAAGTGTCTTCATAACAATGTTTAGCTGTTTGCAATAAGAGCTTGCAATCAGTTTTAATAGGGCTGTCTCAAGAGTAGAGTTGCTTATTGCTGCCTGAACAATTGTTATATGAACATGGTGGAAACAGTGATTGTCCGTGTGACCCAAGGCAGTCTAAGAGGACAGAAAGTGAAGACTCCAGCTGGAGCAACCTACTACAGTTTCCATGCTATTCCATATGCTAAACCTCCTGTGGGACCTCTGAGGTTCAAAGTGAGTCCTTACAGAATAATTCATGTATGGAAGTGATTCTGTAATGATCAGGAAAAGGTACTATGGTGGAAAGAATGTGGTATAAATATGAGTACTTGCTGCATACTTAACTTCTGTTAAGTTTAAATAAATATAATCTGTTCTTGTAGTTCTTGACTAAGTACATTACTCTAGTTGCAACTAGATCCATACAATGAGTTGCCTAGAACTCAAGGTCTACATTCCTGCTGCAGACTCCAACACTATATGTCTTGTGTTGTTAATGTGTTATTTAAATAATACAAATGTACAGTACAACAATAATATTTGATTCATTTCATAGACCAGCATGTTGAACTCATGCACAGTTAGCTATAAGATTTAATCTTGTTGAAGTCAAATTTTTCTTTGTCTGAAATTAGAAATGTGTTAGTAATTATCATCACATCAAAATTATATTAATTTTGGAGCAAAGTATTCTAAGTACGGACTTTGGCCATTTTTATTTGTTGGACATTTTTTTAATAAATAGCGCATTTAAAATCTACTCTTGATAATATGGAGTCCCAACTCCAGCAAATCAACAGACTTCCTATTCCTGAATACTCTCACAGAACATATCAGAACAGATCTCAAAATTTTTCCCTGCCGCTAAGTTTGTACTGTTAGCAGTTTTCTGGTAACAGCTTTCAACAGTGGACATTGTTCTTCCTTTGGTTTACCAAACTGTCCCCATGTCTCTGCTACCATCTTCTAACAGCAACAACTCACAAGGACTGAACCACAGCAGTTTTTTAACTGACTCACTCACCAAACAACTCACTCCAATCCACTTTGTTGTCTGTGGGCCACTGCCTAGCAATGGCCATTGTACAGTGGCCTATCTTGCAGTTGCGAGTAACCAGTGGTCTGTTGACTTCATTGCCTTGGAAATGTGCTCAGCAAAGCACATATATGGATCTGGACATATTGCAAGTGAAAAATGTTATTAGATGAGAGCTTCTCAAGAAGAATCCATTTTGGTCCATTCCTTGCAGTTTAGGACTTATGACCATTTGTATATAACAAATGCAGCTAACTCAGTTCCACTGTTCAGTGGATTACACAATATGATGTCATGCACTGATAAGATGTCTGCTGATAATAGTCATGCTGCATGTATGAGAGAGTACAGGAAAAGGAAGCGGTTAGAAGAAGATACGAGGGTTGGAACTTTAATAGCGGCAACATTGCTGTAGAGACGCCATGCAATGGAACCAAATAATGTCGCTTATACCACACGTTAGTTACATACCTACCTTACCTCAGAGCAAATTGACTCTCCCTTCCCACATCACGCGTATGCGCAGTGACGAGAAGAACAGAGCCTCGTGTTAGCTGGCGGTCTAATGTAGTGTTGTCACGATGTTCTCGAAACAGGAACAACGGAGTTGGATAAAGATTGAATGTGCTAGAGGCCGTACAGCATGACAGTGTATCAAGGTCTTCAAGAGGCTTGCGGGGAATCTGCATTGCCTTACAAAACAGTGGCAAGGTGGGTAAAAGCCTTCAAAGAGGGACGCCAAAATGTGGCAGACGTGTGTTGGCCAGGTCATCCTAGTGTCAGTGAAGAAGAAGTGTATGCTCTTTCCGCACCACTGGAGAGTGATTGATGCCATACGATTTGTGAGCTGGCCAGAGAGACAGGATTAGCACATACGACTGTGCTTCACATTCTGAAGGAACGCCTGGGCATGAGAAAAATTGCATCTTGATGGGTTCTGCATGATTTGACGGAAATGCAGAAATGGCTATGATATGACGCTGCTCGTAATCACTTGGAGCACTATGAGCGCGAAGGAGAGGCTTTCTTACGCCTTACGAGTATCATTACGCTGGATGAGACATGGACCAAATCGTACGAGCCACAAATGAAACGCCAATCGAACGAATGGCGTCATTACGGGTCACCATGAAAATCAAAAGTTCATCAGAACCCCAGCAATGTGAAAGTTATGGTGATTCTCGTGTACGACTGTGATGGTGTTATCCTAATGCATACCGTTTCCCGACAGCAGACCGTCACTGCGCAGTATTACTGTTCATTTTTGGAACACAAACTGCGACCAGCTTTGAGAAAGAAGTGGCAACACTTTCTGCAGAACCCACCCATCATTTTGCAGCACAATGCTCAGTCGCATGCAGTGCAAGCTGTGGCTGATTTGTTCGATCGATGGGGGTGGAAAGTGCTGTACCATCCACCATACTCCCCGGACTTAAGCCCTTGTGACTTCGACTTGATTCCTAAGATGAAGGAACCGCTTCGTGGCATTTGCTTCAGAACTGTTCCAGAGATTCTTCAGGCACTAGACTGCTCCATTCAAACTATCAACACAACAGGCGCTGCTACAGGTATCCTATGACTTCCACATCGCTGGCAATTGGTTGTACACAATGCTGGTGACTACACTGAAGGAAAGTAAAACTTCGAAACATGCGTATATTTTGTATCAGTTGTAAATAAATAGTTGCCACTATTATCCTCTTCTATGTAATAATGTACCTAAACGAACAAAGTTAAATGCCGAACGACAGTGTGAATATAGAGAAATGCATAAAAACGTATCTGCTGAATTGTAACACTCTATAGATTACTGTAACTGTAGCACTCAAAGTAAAGTCTTCAATGTCTCAGTTGGTTCACACATCACAGCTGAATATTCAACTACTGAACTGCCTTCTGAATTCTATTACGAATGAATTGAATTCATGAATGAACTCTTTTGTAGGTTTGATAATACCAAATAGAAGCTATTGGTCCCCTGTATCCTCTGTAGCGGAAACGCCTGGTGATCCCAAGATTCCTTGTATCCACGTGCTGAATCTTTGTTGACATGAGAATGAGTTTTAATGAGCCATTGCCTAGCAAATGGACTTCTGTTTTTTCGCAGCTGTTCCGGCTTTCAAGCAGTGTTTACTGAAACGTTGCCTAGCAAGCGATGGTTGGAGCATTTGATACGGACTCCCTTGTACAAACGCTACAACATTATCCAACATTTTTAAATGTGGATAACATGCCCGAAGATACTTATTAATTAGATGAAATCAACGAAACTTTTCAATGTTAATCCTGGGAACCAAGGTTCCGCACTCATTGTTTTCAATTGTTTATAATAGACTAGTTTACAGTGGATGGTTTTTCATTCCAAGATTAATACGAGTATACCGGCACGAATGTCTCTCATTTTAAAGTCTGGAAAGTCTCACTTGGATTGGACAACGCATATAAAATGAACCCCTAAGGATTTAAGCTGCAATTATTTCAACTGTTTTATAATAACAAAACTGAAAGCGTGTGTGGTAAACCTGATGAACATATTTGAGTTCCATTATAGAGAATTTCGTGAATGGTCAAATAATCTCCTGTCCTAAATGTTACTTAACAAAATCCAGTGTATGTCAAATGGATGCCTACCTACAAGTTCTATAAGAAAAGCTCATTGCAGTTTCATGTGTAGATGACTTAAGATGAAAAGAAACTCTATTTCTTAAATGAAACAGATATTAAACTGTAGTTTCTTTCGTGCTGCTTTCACATTGTAGTGTGAACTTGCTTTCAGGCCCCAGAGCCGGCAGAGCCGTGGGGAGGAATTCGTGATGCTCTCAAGGAACCAGCTGTGGCCCCACAAACGGGAGTGTTCAGTAACACTCAGTATGAAGGAGATGAAGACTGTCTGTACATCAATGTCTTTACACCTAAGGTAACAATACTTATCTTGTGGAGAGAAAACTGCGTAATATATGAGTACTTTGCAGCAATAAAAATATACATACACAGATTTCAATTGTTTGTTTTCTCTTCACACCCACCTGCAGCTTCCTGTCAGCAATGCTGACGTGCTTAAACCTGTCATGGTGTATATCCATGGAGGAGCTTTCTGCATTGGATCAGGAAATGCCCAAATGCATGGACCTAGCCCCATGATGAATACTGGAGAAGTCGTTTTGGTTACAATGAACTACCGCTTGGGAGCATTAGGTGACAAGAGTAACACATTTATATTTATTTGAATATAACTTACTGGTAAAACTAGCTGAAAATATTTACACTAAAAATTCGAATTCTTGATCAAAAAGTCAATGAAAATAGAATTTTCTGTAATAAACATAATTTTATTATGACATTTTAATATATTAGAATTCTTCTGAGAACGTATCATTTAAATTATTAGCTGACTGACTAATTCATGACAGTATCTGAAGGTAAAGACAAATAAAAGGACTAAACCCTGAGCTAGCTCAGTTCTGTTTGTATCTTCACAGCCTGCCATTTTCATATTCCTCCCATGGCTTCCTTGGTCACCCAAGAAGATGCCTTTCACCTAACTTCCCACCAAACTTCTGAATATATTTGTTTCTTCCAGCCCAATACAGCCTTGGCTTTAAGATTTTCCATATATATGGGCATGTGGTAGTGTAGTTGGTCACGGTATCGAATCCTGAGGAGGTCATTGGAATTTTTTCAATTTACCTCATCCATCCAGCCACACTATGGCCCCAGGGTCGACTCAGCCTCTAACAGAAATGAGTACCAGGAATATTCTTAGAATATTCTTGGGGGTAAAGGGCGGCCAGCACGTAAGGCTGACAACCTTGCCGCCATCTATGAGCTGATTGTCTATAAAATGTGAGAACCTCAACATCTCACAACCCTATGCTATGGGCCTCCATGGCCTGTTACAGGGATAGCTTTACTTTACAGGGATAGCGACGTAACAAGAAATTTTACGTGGGTTTCGGACTTGAAGGAATATTTATTGTACAGTCACTTTTACACTCACGCTTACAATTATTCTCAACTTATAACGTTGTCAGACGTTTCCTCTTCACTATTACAATTACCTGTGCTGCTGATCTCGGTGAAGTGTCTTCTGCTCTGCTCAGAGCTCAACAGTCCTTCGTCCCTTGTCAGATATGAACTCGCTTCTGCTAAAGTCAAATACAAGCTCTACTGGTCTCTGGCCGACATTGGACTATTATAACATGCACTTGGACTGAATAGAGAACACCTTGTCAAAGGGTTAATTTCGCCCGCTGCTATGCAAACACTGCTTCAAACAATTTGTTCCTGTGGGAATACATGTCTGCCTCAAACAATTTGTTTGTAATGGTGGAAACCCCACTGTTAGACTTTAATTTCCAGGTCAATGATTTCCTAGGAATTGCTAGCTGTTGTATAGCAATGGATGCGTCCTGATTCCAAACATTCTGGCCCTAGGCAGCATGCCACAATATATATATATATGATATCTACCACTACTTTCATGACTTATGTATTAATTTAACTAACTTTATAATACTACACATCACAATTCATCTCTTCCAGATCAGATTAATTTCCTTAGGACTTTGTTTACAAGTACTTGAATTTTATATTTTCCTTCCATAACAGTCCACATTTCACAGACACAAAACAAAAACAGGTAAAATGGTTATTTTATACATCTTCGTGTTTAGCGCCTTGCAATGAAGGTGATATTTTAGCAGTTTATTAAATATGGAACAAGCATTTCCTCAGTACATTCTTCCATTAATTTATCTGTACCTCTCACTTTTACGTGTATTTTCTGTTGTATCAGTAAATAAATTTAAGATTGGGAAGCTAAAAGTAACAACAGGGTTATATGGATTAAGATAAGCACTGCTATGATAAATTTAAGATTGGGAAGCTAAAAGTAACAACAGGGTTATATGGATTAAGATAAGCACTGCTATGATAAATTTAAGATTGGGAAGCTAAAAGTAACAACAGGGTTATATGGATTAAGATAAGCACTGCTATGATATTGGTTAAGTTACGTAGGAATTCATACAAAAATATAAGCCCTATATTTTTGAAAATTGTTCCTCCCTCTCAGGATTCCTCAGTACAGGAGATTCAGTGATTCCTGGCAACAATGGGCTGAAGGATCAAGTAATGGCTCTGCGCTGGGTTCAACAGAACATAGCACATTTTGGAGGAGATCCTGATAATGTGACAGTTGGTGGAGTCAGTGCTGGAGGGGCCAGTGTTCACTTGCATGTTTTGTCTCCTATGTCTAAAGGTATGTACAGCATCTAATGCATTCTTACATTTTAGTCAATACTGGACATAAAGAAATGGGTCATGTAGATAACTAATACTGAAAGAAAACACTTCGTTCTCGTCTATCATATTTTTCTTGAAAAAAAGTGTCAATATTTCGCAATATAAGTAATTATTTTGGACCCCACTAGAAGCATAGCCACCTCATAGCTGCAAAAGGACTGTTTCAGTGTTCTACATAGTTTCATCCAGTCATTAGTCATTATCTTCTTTAATTTTGTCTGTAAATCACATTCAACAAATTACCACTGCCATTTCTCATCCAACTGTATATCTGCACCCAAAAGAGTGCATGACATAGGATCTTTAAGACAGACATTTTTCATCAGGTCCTCATAAATACAAAAATTGTTTCTTTGACTTATCTATCACTGGATTATATTGAACACTTCAGTATTTTTTAAATGGAAGCAAAAGTGCTCAAGATTTCCTTATATTTTGATGACATGGAACTTCCATGTTCTCTTTTGCCTTCTCTTTTTAGTGAATAAGTGTACTTTACTTATGGAATTCATTCTAAGGTAGAATTATGAAAACAATTTGCTTTCATCAGATGCTCCATTTATAATTTAAATGTGAAAATAAAACAAATTAGCACTGCATAAATTATGGAAGGTATAAAAATATTTTAAGGATACGTCACAGTATTCTTCTTTTGCCCTTTTAGCACTGTTTCCATTTTATGTGGACCAATGAATAAAAAGTCTTCAGACTCATCTTTCTTTCCTCAGTCTTTCCTTTTCAGTTTCTTGTCAACTGTCTCCACTTTTCCTGAAGTTTTCCAATAATTGGCTGAACCATATTGCTGTGGGTTGTCCTTAATTTTTAATTCTAATATTCCAAAACACAAGTTTTAAATGAGTATAACCCTCAAAAGTTGAAACAGCTGTGAAATTCTGAAGAATATAAAACTTGTAATTTACAAGAACACAACGGTCCTTAAATTAATAACTTGTAGAATAACATGACAGTTTAGACAAAAGATCCATAAAAATTGTGGAAACTTTATATATTTTGACTGCATTATATAGCCTGTATCATTATCAACCATAAAACAGAAGTCACTTTAAATCTGTGTTTATGAAACATATGTACTCTGCTCAGTTTTGTACGCTCACAATGTCAACTTACATTCGGACATTCCACATTAGAATGAAACACGGCACGACAGATGTTCTTGATAATTTCTTCAATGGAACATATTCACTCTAGCAATGATACTTTCATGAGGACAAAGCTTCTTAGAAATTAAAATTTTTGAAAGTGTACGTCACAAAATTATTTTACACAAAGTTAAATCATGATTCATAATTTTGATAACAATTATGCATAAAGATTTTTACAAAAGTCCATAACTGGTCATTTGATGTTGTGTACTGGAACTGGCATTACAAGAAGCAGCATTCCACCTCTAACAGCCATTCAATGTTACTGATTCCTGTTTTCTGTGACAGGGCTGTTCCATCATGCTATTGCTCAGAGTGGCTCTGCTCTTTGCCCATGGGCTGCAGAAGATCCCTCACTAGCCCTTAGCAAAGCATTCAGATTGGGGGAGGCACTGGGCTGCAAGACATCAGATTCAAAGAAGTTACTGGAGTTTCTTATGAAGGTTCCTGCACAGAAAATTGTTGAAGGGATTGATAAAGCTCTCGAAGAAGAGGTCAGTGTCAGTTTTTTCATAGTGATTGGTGGATTTGTTTCAAGGTTAGACAATATTAAGACTTAATTAAAATCTGAATTAATCTGAACAGCCAGCATATGTTAACGATGTAATGACTACTTTAAATGTGCTGAAATTAAATTTGAAATTCTCTCAAATTTTCAGTGCTGGTTGCACTTTCATCATACATGATATTATGAAAGTGACATGACTAATTTGCTCTCCTGCTTGTTGGTGACCTCAGAAATTTCAGAATGGCCAATCCTTCTAAAGTCTGTGAAATGTATCACCTTGATAATGGAGCAATTTTCTTGCAGACCTGTCAGATGGCTCAGTTTGTGCAGATAGTTATATGTTTAACTTGTGGGTTGATCTTCATCATAACACTTGCAGTGATACACAGTTCTCAACCACAATACTAAATGGATCTGTGGTCAGGCCAACCCTTGGGGAACAGAATTCCTCTCCTGGAAATGAAACTACAGTTTATCACTTTTCAATATGTTGCTTAACTGACTGACTACAGTTTTCAAATGTTTTTCATTATTTTTTAAATCTAGAATGAATTAATTAAATCTAACTATTATATTTATAGGCTAAGCTAAGGTGTTAAATAAATTGGGGGAGCCTCACAGTGAAGCAAGCGTTACCCAATCAGCACTCACCACAGCAGTTCCAACGCCCATTGGTTAGTGTGCTGCCTAGCAACAAAAGTATATAGATAGACGTCCGACATGCGAGCATCAGTCTTATAAGTACCATGCGCTAACAGATTGTGCAGTTAGAATTGGAATATACAATTATCTTGCTGCAATACTGAAATTAAACATGGAAGAAAAATTACAGTTTTATTCTGTCTGCTAATGCAGGTCACTAATTACAATTACTCTTCTCATTTAACAGGAGAAGCACCCTATGCCATTACTTTTTGTGCCAGTCATAGAGAAAGGAAATCACAAAGATGAAGCATTTTTACGTGAGAAACCTACTGACATCATTAAGAGCGGGAAATTTAACAAGGTCCCCCTCATTATTGGAGGTACCTCAAGAGAAGGGTTGCTTATAATGCGTGGTATGAGTCTTTTTTTCTAATTCGCATGTGCATGCAGTACACAATTAAAGTGGTCTAACTTTTTTAGTTTAGTAGACTTCAGTGTCAACAACAGTTCATTGATTATACAGAATATACATACATATATACAATTTTATATAATTTTATGTATACACAAGCATAAATGACAAATGGATTATTATGTGTCAGTACTAAAATTCAATATTATAATGCACTATTATGTTAATATAAGTGATCAACTGCTAATCAGTATGCTTCAAGCTTTGCAGAACTTTGTCTGTGAGAATGATTTGTAAAGTAACACAATTGTAACAAATTGTGAACTGCTGATGCTTATTCTGTAACATGTCAACTTCAAAATTTATCACAGAAAATTAAATCTTTACTTCCTAGAAGGGACTATATCAATGCACTATTAAAGGATGCTATGGAAGTAAATTAATTTTCTTTTTAATTCACTTAGTTTGGGGGTGGAGTCCAACTGGGTTCACTCGGCACGGCGGCCAATGTAGCCTGCCCCGGGTGATTATGATGATGGAGAATTTGGTGGAAAGAAGATTGGCAGGGGAAACCGAAGTATTCGGAGAAAACCCGCCCCAGCGCCACTTTGTCCACCATAAATCCCACTTGACCAGACCCGGGATCGATCCCGGGCCACCGCCGTGGGAAGTCAGCGACTAACCGCTTGAGCTATGGCATGGCCCATGCTATGGGAGTAACTGTAAGGATAAGAAATAGGTATTACAATATTTCAAAGCGATAGCTCTACTTAATGAATGAGAAATGACTAAACATTTTTGATTTTCCTGTAGATCTTATGGAACATTCATCATGGTACCACTCTCTGAGTGCTGATCTCGAGCCTCTGATATCTGTAAACCTCAAAATACCGAAGGGCACAGAAGAAACCAAAGAAATATCTCACAAAATCAAGGAATTCTACTTTGGTGATAAACCTGTGTCTAAAGAAACATGGCCTCAACTAGTAGATGTATGTAGAAAATATATTATCATGCTCTTTTTATGTCAAAATATTGCAGTATTTAACGAGATTTCATTTTGTTTTCCCAGGTATATGGTGACATGCTTTTCAACTTTTGGACATACAGGAGTGCTAAAGAGCAACAAGCAAAATCCTCGGCTCCTGTTTATCTGTACCAGTTTTCATTCCAAGAACAATCAAGACACTTACATCCAGCTGATATAAGTATACCAGGTAATATTGCTTACCTATATTTTTCACCACTTCTCCCACCGAAATATGTTTATCTTAAAGTATTCAAAATATTTGCAAGAATATCCTTTAATTTATATATGATTAAGGTTAGCCATTGTCAAAATAAATGATTTTTAATCAGTCAGTATTTTACAGATTGAAATTTATTTCCTGCTGCATGTTTCGGTCCTCATGGGACCATCATCAAGCAGTAATATGTGAATATGTGCATGGCCACGGAGCTCGTAATATGGATCCATATTTGGTAAAATGTGTCATATTTATAATACACACAACAGGATACACATTGTGAAAATGTTTAATTCAATTGAATTTATCCTAGGTTTAAAAGACACTGTAGGAATATCACGAGTACTATAATTGATGCTGTCTTAGTACATTTTTCAGATTTTATCAGTTAGTGTACTATTAATGGAGAAGAATGTCTATTGGGAGATCACTGCTTCTCTGTCAGTTACATTTTGCCATATGATTGTGGAAGTTTCTACCACTCATTCAGTATAATAATGCAGATATTGTTAATTATCAATGAAAACTAACTTTATCCCATTTTTTTCTACCTAAATATGAAAATAAAAAGTCAAGAATATTATATATCCAAAGAATAGTAGTAAATTTGGGAAGAGAGATGTTTATATCTTTATGAAAAAGAATTCCTGTGCTTTATATTTCATCAAGAAAAATATTATTCTTTTTATTTATATTCAGAAGGTGCAGGAACACTTTTTCACGCTTGATGTCATGGTGCTGTCCCTTTTCTTAATTACGCACCATGCCTTGTAAATATATGAGCACTCTGCACTATATTGCAAACAAAAGCTGTAAGTACTAAAATGGAAGAAGCTTTATCTTTCTAAATTTATAATTGCTCATCTATCAGGAAAATTCCTGCTTTTAAGGAATCCAAATGTGCATTACCATGTCCCAAAAGCTCATCATTTGACCATATTCTAAGCCAGTTGAATCAAATCCACTTCTACACCCTTTCCAAAAATGTTACTTCTTGTAGTAAGTTTGTAAAATACGTGATCCCCATTCAATTTCCATGAAAGTATAATTTTCTCTCATATAACATTCAATTTCTCTGCTTTCAGCCAAGGTATCTCAGTGTTAAAATTGTTTATTTAGATTTTCTTAAGGTTATTAGGATTGATTCCCCATGCTTTTATACCGCTACACTTATGCATCTGATGCTTGTACATCAACAGTGGACTTCCAGACATGGTTCTCACAAATGTCATTTATGTTTATGTTCCTTTTGTGGAACACGCCTGTTAAGCGTACACTGCATACTTCTACGATACTATCGTTCTTATATTTACTCTTTTCTGGGTGCAGGAGGACATGGAGGAGAAGGGGGTGGTGGTGTCTTTGAAAACTTTTTAATAATGCAGAGGAACCTTGACCTGCTGGGTTTGCAGAAGTTCAGAGATATCACTGAAATAAAGAAAGAATATAGGGAGATGTAACTCTAGTGCCAATTCTGCTGTTAACCACTGCAAGTAGTACCTAATATGCTATCAAAATATTTCAGGAGCAGATCATGGCAGTGATCTTGGATACTTATTTGAGACAGCGTTCAACAACGATCCATATCTTCATCCAGACAGCGAAGGTGCAAAGTTGAGTTCAAAACTGCTTAAGATGTGGATAAATTTTGCAAAAACAGGGTAAGTAATCAAGTGTTGCAATGTGCATATAAGTGTGCAAATTCATTATAAGTCATTAAAAGATATGCCTGAGCCAGAGAGATACAGTTTAAACAGTCTCATCACAGAATAATATATCCATGTCAGCTGAGAGATTGAATGCTTTATCACTAGATAAATACATTTCTCACACTGCTGTAAGTGTAGGCCTATCAAGAGATATAATCTAACACTATACACCACAGGGACCCTACAGACCTTTGGCCAGTGTTTCATTATTAACTACAATAACATTACACAACTATGTCTGTTTTTAATTAATTCGCTTAGTGGGGGGTGGAGTGCAACTGGGTCCACGCGGCACAGCGGCCACTGATTGGCCTATTGTAGCCTGCCCCAGGTGATTATGATATGGAGAATTTGGTGGAATGAAGATTGGCAGGGGAAACCGAAGTACTCGGAGAAAACCCGCCCCAGCACCACTTTGTCCACCACAAGTCCCACTTGACCAGACCCAGGATCAAACCCGGGCTGTCACAGTGGGAAGCCAGTGACTAACCGCTTGAGCTATGGCAGCGGCCTCAACTATGTCTGTTAGTGTCCAAAGTACAATTGTTTACTATTCACTCCATCCATTTGTCCCATTTATACCCTCTTTTCAATCAAGAATTACAATTTAGGTCGCTTCTCAGACATAAATAAAGTGCTTGTAGCATGTTTACTCAACTATATTACTGAAATATGAAGCATATTGGGTGTCTATTTTCTATAACAGTGATGCAAAAGTAGACATTCAATCATGAAAAGTCAGTTCAAAACCATGACAAATTAGATAATTTTTTTCTGAATTAGGCAACAAAAATAATTAGATACAGAATTTCTGGTTAAAGATATGAGAAATGTGTACACAACTTCAGTCTGAAAACCTGAAGGGAAGAACATTTTTGAAGACCTAGAAGATGATGGGAGGATAATAATAAAATGTATCTTAAATAAATGACGTGTGGATGTGGATTGAAGTCATTTGGCTAAGAATAGATACTAGTTGTGTGAGCATGTGAACGCAGTAATGAACTTCTGGTTTTCAACAGAATTCAATAGAATTTTACAACTCTGCCAGTTGTGACGTACAATATTAGCCACAATTTACCTCCAGCTTGTTGGACTTCAATCTCCTTCCACCAGCATGCAGGCCTGCTCATCTGTTAAAATGTGGTCTACTTTAAAAAAGTAACATTCTCTATTTTACCCTGCACATGATGTGATGGAAAGCTGTAATAACATTACACATATCCACCTGACTCCCCGTGTGTCAAACCGAATTTAAACTGACAGAATCTCGTCGCAAGCTCATACTTCTTGAACGTTCTGTTGTACAGCAATCCCACTCCCGTAGCAGACAAGTCACTGGGGGTGTCCTGGAGCCCAGTTACCAAGACTGAACTGAACTACCTGAAGATCGACAAGGAACTGACTATGCACAAAGATCTAATGAAAGAAAACATGGCCTTCTGGGACAAAATTCTAGCATCTTGAAAATTAGTGACATTGTACATAAGTCTTGCATTTCAAACACTCATTTATGTCACTCATGATTTTATCTTGTAGTGTATGTACAAATACATCGCTCTTCAATAAAGTAATAAAATAACTTCTGCAAAATGATATTTATATATCTCCTGTATTAATTACATTTGCAGCCCTTCACAGCTGCCAGGTCTACTGCTTCTGTATTGATTGGTATGTGCACATAGGATATTCAGAACGTAAACTTCAGAACTCAAAATGTTCCTAAAAGTAAGTGTTCATGCTATATATATGAAGTTATCTGGAACACATTGCGTTTCAGAGAAAGGGAAAGCAGCCCAAGAAATGAAAATTGTTTTTCGGAGCTCCAATGCACTTTTTTTTCTAAAAGTGTGGCCATGACAAGTGCTGTTTCATCATTTGTTTTGGCACAGTTCATGAGCCTCTTTGGTTTAGGAAATCGTTTTCCTAAGCAAAGAAAGTTCCATTACAATTACTAATAAAATATATCTTCAATTTTAAGTGTCAGATGGTAAGATAAATCATTCTGTTTAGTATGGTTTGATTTTTCCCCCTTCCCACTCTCACTTTGGAGCATAGGGCTGACTTCTCAGGTTTACTGATCATTTTTACAGACGGTGGAACTCCTTGGACGGGTGATCAGCTCGTTGCAAGGCTCTACCTAAACATAGGACAACACAAACACAGACTACATGATACACACGCTGAACACCTATGCCTTGTGTGGGATTCGAACCCACGATCCCGGCTTCCGAGCGAGCGAAGACAGTACATGCCTCAGACCGCTCGGCTACCGTGACCGGCTACAGTTTGAGTGGGGTGTGAAAATTACTTCCACTTCACAAACACGCGGCAAAGCTTAACGAAGGGCAATGTTACAAGAAGTACATATACATGTACGTGTATAATTTGCTATAACATAGGGCACCCCTTTTACGTCACAATGGCATGTGTATAACTGTAAAGTTAAGTACACAAATTAAGTAACTGTCAATATGACTTGTCTATTTTAGAGCAAACGTGCTGTCACCTCTAGGCATTTTGACAAACTCCAACTAGACGATATACCGCCTATAGATGCAGTCTCCTTAAATACAAATTTGCCTGGTTTGCTGTGAATATATCATGAAAAATGGCACTGTAAAAGACTGCTTTTAGGAACGAATACAATGAGAGTGACTTTCACCAAATAAAAATATTGCGACATGCTGCTTGAAAGTCGGGAGTCTCAAATCTGAGACAGTAAAATACGGTCACGAGTCCCAAGGGACTCGGACCCGAGAAAGAATGCGATGGCAAGGGCCAGCAGCATATACAAAAGACAGACCCGTCTTCTCGCCAGAGAGGGCGCCCCACAGAAACAAGACCGTAACTGTCAAACGGTAATAATTAATATCTGGTCATGAGTCCCAGATGGGGCTCGACACCAAGACTTACAGAACCGTCAGTCGCAATGTGACTTTGACTTGAGACAAGTTAGTTCGTATCCGACGAGAGCGAAGTCAGATCAGCTTCGAAGAACGAAGAGCCAAGACGCTCCACCGAGAATAGCGGCGCAGGAGAGTTGTAACAGTGAAGAGGAAACGTCCGAAGGCGACCCTCGTTTCAAATAAGCCAAACTAGATTGAAGGATTGAACTATATTACACTGAATCGAAATATATCCTCTATTTACTTTGCCAACATTTATATCATGCAGTAGTTTTATTAGGGGAGGTCAAAGTATTTAAGCTATTATGTATTGTCACACATATTAACATGAAAAATAAAATAACCGAAAATCATCATCTAAAAATTTTTGGTGAACTTCACTTTTATGACAGATATAGTTATTTGTATTTCTGTAAACAAACTGCTGCAAGCACGTACAAAATAAATGTTCTCAAATGTGTCTCAATGAAGGCAAAATTTGAACAGAGACTGGGGAATAAAATTTTTTTTAAGATCTTTCTGTTCACTCAGACTGATGAGTTTCATGCACAACAGAACAGTAATGGCCCAGCGGAAGTCTCCATGCTCAACCATTAACCAGTCATATGAGGATTAACTACCTCCGTCAATAGGATATCTGGAAGGGATGATCGGGAAGAAGTGGTCGTGGGCCATTTTACAGAACTTCTGGGAATTTACATGGAAGGACTGAGGAAGAACCACTATAGACAGGATAACCTATCCATAATCTATAGTTTTCACGATAATCTCTCGGCAAATGGTTTATACCTGAATTATTGTGACGTGCTACATGACGTCCATCGCTGCGCAACGGCTGTAAAGGGAGAGCATACTTCAGCGACAACGAATATATAGAAATTATTGAGTTCCCACAACGACGAATTGAATACCAACAGACTCTTGTGTAGGAATATCCGTAACAACGGATTGTTCGTTGCATAACAACGGATGAAACAAAACACTTCTACACTGTGTTCTGTATTGAGTCAGGCTAGCATTTCCTGAGCAGCGGACTGTCCGTTGCGTAACAGTGGATGAAATTAACACTTCCCTATGCCGTCCGAGCGCTGGATGTGTAAGAGAGAGCAGCTCCGGTGAGCGTTCAGTACCACAAGAGATTCCGAGTTAGATCACAGTAGAGATTCTGAGTTTTGTACTCACAGTCCTGAATTCGACTCCAGCGAGACAGAAGCAGGTTGTGCTCAGACTTCGCAGAAGAGCTCCAGAGAGTGCTAACGGTGCAAGTGAGTAACTGCTGAGTGTGTACAGATTAGCGTCCAATAAGAGAATTCGTTCCGATCCGAGGACCCGCGCAATTTATTCGTGTTGCGTCACACAGCCAACATGTTACAGTATTGTACAAGGGTTGGATAAAACGTAGTGGCAACACTGCTGTAACATGAAAGATGTTCGTCAGGTGGCACTAGCGCCGTCTGTAGCTGATAGCAGAAGTTCAGTTGAAGTAGTGCAGTGAGTGGCTCTGGTTGTGTTCCATTGAGTTGCATTGTGCATCGTCTTGAAGTGCAGGAGCCCAGTTCAAGCACCCTAACAACATGTTTACGAAACAAGAACAACGCTCCCGGGTAAATGTTGAAGTTGCACGAGGTCGTAGTGCACAAAACTGTTATCAGGGGCTGCGAGAAGCACGCGGTGATGCTGCTTTGCCACATCGCACAGTGGCACGGTGGGTGAAATTGTTCCGTGAAGGGAGGGATGCCGTTCAGGACGACCCCATGCTGACAACCACACAATTCAGCTTCTTGCTTCTTTGCTGGATGTCGATCGTCGACGGGGTGCGCGGGAGTTAGCTGCTGAGGTAGGCGTATGTCACAAAACCGTGCTCCACATTCTGCACGATATTCTTTATACCGTAAAACTGCAGCGCGTTGGGTACCCCATACAATTTCCGAGGTGCAACAATGGCAACGTTATGCAACTGCACAGGACTTGTGGCACTGGTACCAGAGGGAAGGTGACGACTTCCTTGGGAGGATCGTCACTCTGGACTAAGCTTGGGCTCGCTCATACGAACCGCACTTGAAGCGACAATCAAATGGATGGAAGTATCCTGGCTCTCCTCGTCCAAAGAAAGTGCGCCCTACACAGAGTAATGTGGCATATGGCACTGATGGAGTGATACTGCACCACACTGTACCTCAACAACAGACAGTAAACGTGGCAGTTAGAAATGTTTTGTTAACAGGAGGTATATTTATCACAATAAAATACAAAGTTAACATTATTCTGTTTTAGAAGATAAAGTGTAGCCAAGATACACACCCGTAATGTCAACTGTCAGCAAATATAACTCCGTTGCCAGGAAACGGCCTGGATATAACGTGCTCGAAAATAAAAATTCTGAAGTATAGAATGATTTTAACTGTTCAAAGTCAAAGTCACATCGCGACTGACGGTCAGTTAGTCTGTCTGTCTTGGTGTCGAGCCCCGACTGGGGCTCATGACCAGATTTTTTTTTCTTTATACGAAAGTTACTGTCCTGTTCATTTGGGGCGCCCTCTCTGACGAGAGGTCGGGTCTGTCATTTTTCAGTCATAGTCTGTGTTAGTAAGTCCATTGTCAGTATTTACATATATTTACAATCTAAACTTAATTCATTTTAACTGTTAACTTTTTAAGAATAATTTATATCCGTTGATCCAAAGCGGTACGTACCGTGCAGAAAACGTCATTTCTAACAGTTCTATTGTTGGGTGCGCCTCTGTTGCGACAATCAAATGATAGCTACTGAGACATTGCTTAGCATTGGGCCTGTTTACAGAGCCGTTCCCTAGCAACGGATCTCTACTGGCTTCAGATCATATTTACAATATATTCGTTTACATAAAGATGCTTTCGATAACTCGGATTATAGAGTATCCAGCGGTGGGATTTTTATGAACAGGCACATTTAATTGGAAGGGAAGTGAAAGGAAAAGTCGTGGTGGTCCCAATCAAGGTTCTGCTTCCGCGTTTGCGTGGAAGGACTTCAAGACCGCGAAGAAACTGCGCCAGGATAAGGGATATCCGAGCCTAGATTCGAATCTGGGACCTACCGAATACCCACTCTACTACAACGCACGGTCCTGCCACAATAAGAAGGTAATCACCCTCAATGACGTTACCGCGGCGCCATAAGCAGAACCAGATAAGGTTATCGCTTTGCAGCTTCACTCAGTACTGAGACGCCATGCATAACGTTCACACAGTGCTGTCACTTTTCGGCATTTAGGATGAACTCTACGTTTTAATTCGTGTTTGATTATTCCTGCTTAGTAAGAACTGTGTTCTCTTCTCTAATCAACCACAGAAACAGAAAATGGCGGAAACTGTAACAGTGGCTGTCGCTCAAGGTCAGTTACGAGGAAGGAAAGTCACAGCTAAGGACGGAACCACGTATTTCAGCTTCCAGGGTGTACCTTACTGTAAACCTCCTGTCGGACCTCTGCGATTTAAGGTAAGAACAGTATATTTCTAGGAGCCGGGTTAGCTCAGATGGTATAGCGACTGGCTACAGGCTGGACGACCAAGGCGCCGGGGTTCGAGTCCCGGTAGGGTCAAGAATTTTCACTTCTCCATGTCGTCTGGGGCCCACCCAACCTCCTATCCAATGGGTACTGGGGGCTCATTCCCCGGGGTAAACGGCCGGAGCGTGAATCTGACCACTAACCTTCAGCTAGTGCCGAAGTCAAGAAAACGTTGGTCTATATATCCACTCCACCATACGCCTTCATGGCTTAGTGCTTAATTACTTAAGCAAATGGACAGCACTGCCTTTGCCTTCCAATCTGTATTTCTCCAGTCCAAGTATTTAAACTACTCTACTTGTAACTTCCTCTGCAAAAGTCTGCAGTTTTTGCTACTTGCAGTGGTCACGTCGTGCCACATGTTCCGATATGGGGAGCAGCCCTCTGTGGCCTGGCTGTTGCATTTGTCTTTGTTACGGTCCTCCCTTCAGATTTCACAAAGCATGCAATTCATGACATCAAGAAATATGTAAATAGAAGACTACTTGGCTTATGTAGTCAGAATTCGATCTGTCACGCATGAAGTAGGTTCAGTGACCACTACTCCACAACATTTATCAGTTATCTTCAACTGACGACAATATTTTGCACCGTCACCATGATATTCCATAGAAATTGGCCTGAATAAGTACAGTGCAGTTTGCACTGCCATATTCTGAAACTTAGGGTCTATATAACTAATGCAGGTAGTAGTACTCCCATGTTATTATTTTGCCGTCACTTTGGAATTATTGAATACAGGGAATTATAAAGAACGAAGACGAAGCGAAATGCAGTGGAATTCTGTTTATACTGAATTTCATGCAAGGTGTTTTACTTTTTTTTTTTGCAAAGTTAATGTAGACAGGCAGAAACTCGCAGCTCGCAACACGAACTCTGCTCCCTGAGCCATATTTATACAGGGGGTCGCATACGTCACCGTACACTACAGATATCTGTCGATATATTCGTGTATATCGATATATGTCGATATATTCGATAAATCGGCATACGTATTCAGTACCGATTTAGAGTCTCAATAGAATGGGGATCTTCTTGGATAACATAAATATTCCCATTTTTATTCGAAGATACTGAAAAATCGAAGTTCTCTCCGTTATAGGGAATTTGAGGGGGCTTTTCTTTTGAAGCATGCCACAGCAGTTGTGAAATGAAAATAAAATAAAATTACAATATTAAAACTTAATTTAATCATGTTCTTCAAGAGATTAAAGAATCCTTAAACTGATAAAAGTATCCGATGCCGATACAGATATCTCCGATAAGTCTATTGATACGGAATACTACATCTCTCGAAACCCCTGCCGTACACTACAAACAATACAGTTGCTATGTTACATACATATATCTTCATATATACTATGCAATAAATCCGGGTTCTCCTCAAATGATGGATAGATCAACTATCGAAGTCACTGCCATAAAACATACGAGGCAGCGAAAACACTGATGGTCGAAATTCTGACTAATAGAAATTCTGAAAATGCATAATTGACAAGTGCGGGAAATATTCATAACTGCACTTACATATCAAGACAGAGACGCAACATCCGTCCAGGACCTGTCACTGACCTGCAGGTCTACGTAGATAACATCAGCAACAAGTGGACCTAAAACAAATAAAATATGCAGAATGAATTGTGTGTTCGCAATGCGACTCGCTCATCGCAATTCGATTTATTTCCGTCAGCACGACTTCTGTAGAGATACAGTATGTGTTAATTATCCACTACACGTTTTCTACTTTTCGGTCGTCATCAGATAAGCACAGTCACTACGGGCTCCACTGTTCATCCCTTGCATTACACGTACTTGCGTTCTTTCTTTATATTCATTGCATCCACTGCGACGTCCAAGAGATAGGAGCACATGAAGAAGGGATGGAAGCATGAGTGTTTCGGCCACGGCGCACAGCTGCATGGGTGGTCCGTTCCGCGGCTATCGTCAAATTCCCCTTAGCCTTAAACAGCATACACTTACGGTTTCCTACGAATGGAAGGAAAATTATAGTTTAAGCTGCCACAGACCACAGACCACCGATATAAAGTACATTTTCTTAAACAACGATTCATCACAATTTTTAATTTTAAATTATTTTATTTATTACATGTCTTGCAATACTACGAAATATCTGAATGGACCACCACGAACCACAGTTTAAGAAACAATGAGTTAGACGGTTGGGAATGAAAACATTATTCCAGAATAAGAACCGAGCCCATATTGAACTAAATATCGCCTCGTACTGCTAGAAAGAGTTGGCTCAGTCTGCGCGGTGAGTGATGTGTCATGTGGGTCGCTACAGGGCACTGTCAGTGGCTGACGGATGATGAACTAGAAAGTACTCAGGAGGAAGTGGTGGTGGCCTACTCGAGGTACTATCTCGCAGTTTTCCTTCAAGGTAAATTTAAGGTGAAGTTATCCCTGTGCTTACCTAAGCACTACGCCATGAACGCGTATTGGGGGAGTGGATATATAGATCCACATTTACTTGATCTCGTAACTAGTTGTGGAAATGAGTGGTCAGCTTCACGCCCCGGCTTCTTTACCCCGGACAAACAGACCCCGGTACCCATTGGATAGGATGCTGGGTAGACCCCAGAGCCGATCTGCAAGTCGTCGTAAAGGGAAAATTCTTTACCTTACCGGGACTCGAACTCCTCGGTCGCCGAGCCCGTAGCCAGTCGATATACCGACTGCGCTGTCCTTGAAGGTACTGAGAATAGTCACGAAAAACCTAACTCAGGACCCTCAGGACAGCTGGTGTCACGGTCGCAATTCGAAAAGAGTACCTCCCGAATGCAAGTCTAGTTACCACTAGACCAACTGTCCAGTGACAGGCATGTCGGCCCAGTCCACTTTTAACTTCACATTCCTTTAAGCTAATGTAATCCAACCACATAAATAAAATGTACCTAAAAACCTAACCTCACAGTGGTACCATATTCTTTTCTGGCTCCACTATTGGAGTATAAAAAATCCGCTCAGCAAACGCAGCACGGCAGGAATTCCTTGGTATTGCTGTAAGTGAAAATGCACATATATTATGCTGATTTCCTTTAAATTTGTTCCTCAATTTTCCCGTGTCTTCTTTTGCCTAGGCCAACCATAGAAAGTGATGGAGTGTAACAATAGCTAACAGTACTTACTCAGTGGGGGGGGGGACTACATGTTTGTAACTGCCTGACTCATCCTCGGCTGAGCTGTCGATGAAGGTCTGACGGCGATGACTTGATATCGATTTAAGGACTGCCGTTGCTGAAAATGTTTTTGTCACACAGACACGCCGTTCCAGAGAGAAGGATTTTATAAAGTGGTTAATTATACAGAGAATTTAATTGTTGGTAGTTCAATTCTGGAGCATTCCCATAATTTTACGCACAATACTTTCAATGTTTCGCGCACCACCTTCTCGCGGAACCACTGCCATAATAAAGCAGGCTTACAGAAGTAGCATTATTTAGACAGATGTGATGCACGTCTTTCTTTTTGTAGTCTGCAGATTAGCCGGGGTAGCGTAATAGGTATAGCGACTGGCTACGGGCTGGACGACTGAGGGGTAGGAGTTCGAGTCCCGGTAGGGTAAAGAATTTTCTCATCTCCAAATCGTCCAGATCGGCTCTGGAGTCTACCCAACCTCCTATCCAATGGGTACCGGGGGTTCTTCCCCGGGGGTAAAGCAGGGGCGTGATGCCGACCACTCACCTCCAGCTAGTGTCGAGGTCAAGAAACATGGATCTATATATCCACTCCCCCATACGCCTTCATGGCCTAGTGCTTAATTTGTTAAGCACAGGAACAAATTTACTTTACCTTTTTTATCTGGAGATTACCTGACAATGACTGATTCGATTGCGAAAGTTCAAGATGCTAAGGCCGTGCTTAGGGCCGCGCCATAGCTCAACCGGTTAGTCGCTGGCTTCCCACCGCGGCGGCCAGGGTTCGATCCCGGGTCTGGTCAAGTGGGATTTGTGGTGGACAAAGTGGCGCTGGGGCAGGTTTTCTCCGAGTACTTCGGTTTCCCCTGCCATTCTTAATTCCACCAATTGCTCCACAATCATCCTCACGTATCATGTAGGGCTGGTACAATAGGCCAGAAGTGGCCGCAGTACAAGGGACTTAGTCCCACCCCACTAGCTCTTACCCAGGATCATTTACACACAATGCTGTGACAGATATATGATTAGTCATGGAACTGAAAGAAGTCATGTCATGGGGCTGCGGTTAAGATTTACGACGAGGGCAATAGTACAGGAATGGACCTGACCTTACTTACATGTGGTCACTGCAAAGAACGTTGTTTGCTTCAGAAGACACTCCACTCCAAGGAAACTAGACTCGGAGCCGAACAGACTGAGTTAGCGGTACTGAACCCCAGTCTCGGCCATAAGATCACTTTTCTTGACTGGTTTCTCCAGTTCCTCCAGATGAATACCGGAAGAGTGTTTCCAAATAGGCCACCGCTGCCTCCTCGAAAAATGCTTACCTGCACATCATTCACTATGACTTTCCCATTTACTCCGACTTTATGAGAACACCCGAGGAAACAGCAAACTTAAATAACAGAATATTTGATTATCGCAGTCTTCTTCGATGTAACGCCCTGTAGTCTGGTAGGAAGCTACCGATGTTTCGGAGGAACCTGCTACCAAAATTTTCGGGAAGCTGCTCAGAATAATAATGTCGCGTGGTGTGAAGGATATGGAAGGATATGGAAGTGGTCGTGACCTAATATAAGATACTACCTCGGCGTTTGCCTGTAGGAACCGAAGTACGCCACGAAAAATCTCAGTCAGGCAGAGATATGAACCGGGGAAAGTGATACCCACACGGCGGGCCGTTCGGCGTAACCGTCTCCAAAATTACGTCAGCAGGGCATATTACTGTGTCATGTTGAAAGCACTGGGAGTCTATATTTAGAGAGTTGAGTCCAGCCCGTCCAGACCGATCTAGACATTGTGCGCGTGAGCACTGCGCGCCTCAAGCTCTGCTGACAAATGCATATGGAAGAAGGCATTACTGTGGGTGTGACCCAAGGCGATCTGCGAGGAAGGAAAACCGTGACTGCATCAGGAACAACTTACTACAGTTTTAAGGGTATTCCATATGCAAAACCGCCTTTGGGATCTCTCAGATTCGGGGTGAGTACACAAAGAAACACGTAAGAACTTCGATGAGTTATAGCTCGCTCGCTCTGCTTGCTACTTGCTTAAAGCTGGTTTCCCTTTGACCCTGAACATGGAGGCACCATGTCCTCTGAAATGTCTTTTGACTTTCAGTGGATGACAGGAGATTGTATCTCAGAAAACACAAAACTTCGTGACCACCGGTGTGAGACCCTAAAGTCAGATTCGCGAAGTGCAGACTGAGGCTATACGTGTATGTATCCGCAGACCGTAGCTCCCTCCGCGATTTCACGTGCAGTCTCCAGCTACAGTCGTGCCAACCGCCTGATAACGTTCTTAATTCGTTTTGATTTATGTAAGATTTGAGGTTTTCACGGCGGTGACTATGAAGAAAGCAGTCTTCTGGGATGTGGCACCGTGTAGATGTGGTGTTAACCGATATTTCGGAGGAACGTATCGCCTCCATCTTCAGGGTAGAAGGAAAAATAAGAAAATCCGCAAGCGAAGAGACCGTGAGAACCGGTACAAGCAGACCAGACTCCAGTCTGCAAGACAGTGTGTGCTTCACCTTCAAGTGTGCTTCAGATCTTGCAAAAGACAGGTTTCCCATACTTTGCAGGAGGAGCAGTTGATATTTCAGTTACAGTTTCCTGTAAGTCAGGCTTTATAGTTGACCGATCGGTGGAAGTCGTTACAGAGAGGAAAATATGGTCATGATCCCCGTGGAACTCGGAACTAAGAATCACTCTGCTGTCGAGCGCCATAGCTTGATCAGTAGAGCCAAGGTCATATGTCAGGATGAGAAGGATTTCAACAAGGAATTTAAGAAGATGAGACATGATGAGACGCTTATTGAATACCAACAAGAATTAGCTGACTCCATAATGAAGCTGTCGAGAAGCAACGGCCCTACTTCAGACACGATGTGTTAACTCTTGCTGATGGTTTATGTTGTATTTGGTTTACATATCCTATTTTGTGTTGGTGTTCGGTAATAGGGACTAGCTCTGTCGATTGGGCTAAACTGAGTAGTTTTTACCTGAAGACGGAGACAGAATCCAGTCTTCGAAACGTTGTTTTAAATAGAAAACAAGGTGATGCATAAGTTCAGAAACACATTAATCGTGTTAATACACCATCGCCACAAACATTTACAGCTTAGTTCCGAAACTGCTTGGTTCTGTAACATTCCGAAATATTCTAACCTATGTACATTATTTGCAGGCGCCGCAACCAGCTGACTCATGGGAAGGAATTCGCGACGCCCTCACCGAGGGCTCAGTCGCCCCACAGATAGATGATGTCGTGGCCGATGCTTACTTGGGAGAGGAAGACTGTTTGTACCTAAATGTTTATACTCCCAAGGTAAGAGTCACATTAAATACAAGAGCCAGTTTCTGGGTATGATTTGATTGTGGTTTGTCGAATTATGGTCCAGAAACCTGTGTTAACAGCATATCACTTTGGAATTATGTTAATATTTCGACTACGGTCGGATGTCTTGTGTGTTTTTCACAAGTTCGTTAACTACTACGTAGCGCCGTTTGTGGAATGATTATTGAATATGGAACAGTTGGTGGAAACCGGAGTAAACACGTAAAACTGCACCTATGCTTAATTAATTATGCATCACACCATCAGTACATACGGGAGATGGGTAGAGCTCCTCCATTCTTGACCTCGGCACTAGATGGAGGTGAGTGGTCAACTTCGCACCCCGGCCTCCTTATCCCTGGGGAAAGAGCCCGCGGTACCCATTATATAGGAGGCTGGGTGGGCCATAGAGCCGGTCTGGACGATGTAAAGTGGAGAGAAATCTCTTGGCCGTGCTGGGAATCGAACCCCGGCCGTCCAGCCCGTCTCTTCTCCCGCAACCCCGAGCTGGAGGACCATCCCATGTCGAGGCTGTGCCAGGTGACAAGAAACCGTTAGAACGGTTAGAAACCACTGCTGTGAGCATTGCACAAAACATGACTAGTTGAGGGACTTTTCGAGGACTGTGTTCCGTGACGTTACTTGGTTCTGATTGCAGCTTCCTTCACGTTCTGGAGACAGCCTGAAAGCAGTGATGGTTTGGATCCATGGAGGGGGCTTCTACATGGGATCGGGGAACACACAGATCAACGGGCCAGACTACCTAGTGGCTGGAGATGTCGTTCTGGTCACATTCAATTACAGACTTGGAGCACTAGGTAAAGCGACTTAGCGTCAACATTTCAAAATGTCATAATTTATCACCTTCAAGGTTGGAGCCCGCTCAGCTCTTCCGTTCCCGTTAGAACTGCTGTTCATATGTCTATCGATTTTTCGCCCTCATGCGTATATTACGTCCAGTGGAATATTTTCTTCTTTGGGATGCAGTCTCCTCCGGTTTTCTCCAAATGGTCGAGCCAATTACACACTGACAACCCCTAAACATTCCTTGTGATAATTTATAATTCGAAACAGTCGCTCCCATCTTCCATGGAAATTCCCCCAGATTTATAAGTACTCTGTGTTACATTTCTTCCCGTATTCAAGTGAAAACATTATGACCCCACCCCCAATATAGGCCCAGCATTGTACAGGTCCAGCCGTGAGGTCCAGGCGGTGAGAGTTAAGTTCAAGGTCCTCTGGGGAGTGTCGCCGTTTTGTCTGGTAGACAGGCATATCAAATCTATTACGTGCTCGTCGTCCAGACTACACATCGTCACAACCCAGAGAATCCAAAATTTAGTGATGTCAGTTTTAAATTAAATATTTCTAAATTTGCTGAAAATTATATGAAGATGGACTCTTTCATTGTTACACACTTAGTTACTAGGCCCTGTGCATTATTTATATGAAGTATCAGTTTAGAATGTTTTATAAAATGCTCCGGGAAGTTGCCATCAGTGCATACATGAGCTTCCAGTACCTACATAATGCCATAAACACTCATTCTTCACCTTTCGTGCTCAACTTAGCTTCACATTTCAAATCCTATATTATCTGACAACATACAGCATGTCCGTAAATGGCTGATACAATTTCGGGGATAAAGGAAACTACGAGTACAAAGCATACACACATGTGACCGGTATCAGCGGAAAGTCAGATTCTCAGACATTTCAAACTTGGCAGTATATGCTACCCTTCAGTCCAGAACGGGACATATAGGTAATAAGGTCAAGAAAATTCTTGCCCATATTACCTAACTTTACCGCCAGGCCCCGCAATTTTTACAAATGACGTCTCCCACGGGGAAAAGCTCTTAGGTGATTGAGTACGGTTTCCACTGCCAATCTTCATTCCACCAATTGCTCCACAATCACCCTCACCTATCACCTGGGGCTGGTACAATAGGCCAGAAGTGGCCGCAGTACGAGGGACTTCGTCTCACCTCCCTAGCAATGAAGAAGAAAATGCCTTGGTGTAACAAACTGAATTGTATCAATCATTTACGGACACTCGGTATCACTGTTGTCCAACATTCAACTATCTTACAGCCTTCTGAACGGTCTAAGCATCGACACTAGACGGATTCTCTGAATGTTTTGTGCGTCATACACATTATTCTGAAACATTTCACCACCCGGAGCTTGTGCTACTCCAGAGATGCTCGCAGGGTAGCCAAGCAGTCGTGAAGCAAACGCACGGCCCTACTTGACGGGAGGAGGGACCAACTCTTCCGCCAGAGTTTCCGATCGCAAAGAAACTGATCTTGCATGTTGCAATGGAGACTCAATAAGCAAAGCACATGTCATGCAAGTCCGATTATTCGGGGACAACTTTCCTTTCTTGTGAGATGTAGAAGGTAGGCTGAAATGAGTCTCCGCTTTGATATCACGTTACTGAAACAATTCATGATATGCTCTATATCGATAAGGTTTCTTGAGTACGGAAGATGCCGAGACCTCAAGCAACAACGGCCTGAAGGACCAAGTGATGGCTCTGCGTTGGGTTCAGCAGAACATCGCGCAGTTTGGGGGCGATCCTGGTAACGTCACGATCTTCGGTGTCAGTGCTGGAGGGGGCAGCGTGCATTTCCACCTCCTCTCTCCGTTATCTGCAGGTAGGTTCACTGGCTGTGCACTGACGCGAGACTGACCTCAACAATTGTCGGTCATATTGACCACATTCACGCTCAAGCAACACAGGTCGCCATTCTCTGCTTTCGGTGCGGGCGAAATTTGTCGGGCAGCACTTTATTGTCTTGCTTAGACCTATGCAATGTGATAATGCGCCCCGAAGGTTCAGTATTGCTGAGAGTAGAGACCACCACTGGTCATGATATGAAGAAAACTGAATACACTCTTCCGCTCACTGCCAAGTCCCTGGAGTACGTCCCATCTTCTCGGTTCTCCAAGTGATGCAAACCAGAATTATATACGCATCTATTTTTACCACATCTGGGCACCTCTCCGGACCTCTGAACCCGTTTTGCAATAGTAAGTAACCTATATAAACATCGAAGCTCCTTGCTTTGTAATATCCCTAGCTTTCAACTTTATTATTATTATTGTTATTATTATTATTATTATTGTTGTTGTTGTTTCCTGTTCATACGACGCCATAATACCCGATCTTCATAGTTCTGATTTCCTGTCCCTCAATAATAACAACATGGCGGTCATGAGAATTTCTGAGAAGGAAGTGAGGTTATCTCCTGAGAATGCCGTAACAGCGTTCCAAAACACACAATTTTCGTTATGGTTGGTTCTTTCCTCGTAGAATCTAAAATAATACGAGTATATTGGCGGCAGGCGTAATTGGTGTTGATAACAGTAACTGACAGATCACTGCAGCTTGTGTAGTTTTGTGCTGACAATAACCTTAATTCAGACTTCGAAATAATACTTGTGAAGCACGCAATAATTTGACGATACACACAAACCTTGCCCTTGAGAGGCGTGGAGATGTACAGGTGTTAGAAATATGTTTTGTAGGCAATCCAGTATTGAAGTGAACATAAGCTTACACAAAACGCTATGTAGTCTGCCAGCATTGGTCAGGTTTCACCCCTGAAGGAGTAACATTTCTAAGGGTCTAGTGTAAGTTTCTGGGTTTCTACACTATTATAGCCCAGACCGCAACAACCGCAAACGTAGCAGAAGCCCTCACGTGACCTTCATCAGTAAATTAATTTGCATAATCTTTCTGCTTCCTGTTTTACAGAAGTCGCAAATGCTTGACAATGCAAAGGCGTGCAGTATGATTAGCTAGCCTACATGATGTAATTGCAGCAAGATGTATGAAAGACGTTGAGATACTGATATTCGGAAATCGACAAATAGAAAATAAATATAAAACTAAGCAGCAGTATTAATATTTACAGTTAAGTTTAGCTGCCTGAAAGGAAAACGAATCCTTCCGACCCTGTCGCAGTCTAGCCCCCCTATCCGGCCAAAGTGAGTACTGAGTATTGATTGACATGCGGAGGGGGGCTACTTCCTGTCGCCCCAAGCACTCGGACCAGTTCTGGGTCCACTGTGTGTCCCTGTGTTCACTAGAGCACTCTCCTCAGTGCTAGAGCTGGACTCTGACTGAATCCCAAATATTAACTGCCAGCTCCAAGCATGCGGAGTCAGTTACAGCTGGACACTGAAAAAGTGTGAGGTAGGACGTTTCCATAATATGGTGAGTTACCAGCGTGTGCTCCTCTCTGATCAAGGCCAGCAGGTCCCTACACAGGTGTCCAAAGGAACTTCAGTCTCATACCCAGTGCGGCAGCCCAGAGTTGGAGCACCACTTTATCAGCCACTCCTGCCAACAGATGGTGACACTGGAATTGCTTGATGCATATCTAATCCCAAATCCCAGTGCGCCCGGGCCATGCTACTCACGCTCCTTGGTTCGCACCTTTTTCTTACAGGACTGTTTCATCGAGCTATCGCCATGAGTGGCGTTGTGCTCAACCCATGGGCTCTCGTCGAGGAGCCACGTGAGAGGGCATTTCGACTTGGTGCAGCGCTGGGCTGTAAGACCACGAACAGCAAGGAGCTGGTGGAGTTCCTACGCTCCGTGCCAGTACGGCAGCTGGTAGAGGACGTCGACAAGGCTAAGACCCCCGAGGTTAGAAGAGAGAGATGTTATAAGACTTGCACTTCGGTTCGGAGCTCAAATGTAAACTGTTTCGTGGTGACGGTACCTCGTAGATTTAGGCTCCTTTTTTCGACGTTTCGGAGGTCCTTATTGTCTTCATCTCTATGGTAAAACGATCATTCAATGGCTCCTGCCCATACGGATAGCACAAGCCCAACAGTCGCTTATTAGTGTCGTAAAGGGTCATCGGTTAGCCATTTTGACCTGCAGATGGGGGCAGTATGGATAAGCGAATCGCCGGCAATAGAGCCCATACATGCACTGTGCTAGTGCCAAACGAATATGCAAAGGAAGGGGGAAATGTAACAGAGCTGTTACTATAACATTTCACTAAACAAATAACGTTGAAACAAGATTTACTACAAGCAAAAATAAGCCCTTTTACACTGTTATTCCGAAATTACGCCCAACACTTCACAGATCTGGCATTCAGATCACGGTTCCAAGTGCACTTTCATGCATCACATTAAGCTTTTATTAGTTTGTAATTTATTCTGGACACGTGGTTACGCACAGAAAACGTCATTTACCTTGAATTTAACATAGCTTAATGCTGAATCTCTGGCCTTAAATTAGAATAACATTTCCTGGGCTGTGTGGAAAGAATTTATTATGTCAGGATTTCGTTATAATCTTCAGCTCTAAGAGTAGCGCTTATTATTATGAGCAATCTCTTATCATTTGAAAATACATATCATTAAAGCATTTTATTCCTGTAGGCGACATTTCAGGGACAGCCATCGGTTACTGCGGATTTAACAGAAAAAGTCTGAGTACTGGTACAAATTTGGGAGCCGGGATAGCGTAGTCGGCATAGGGTCAAGAATTTTCTCTTCTCCACGTCGTCCAGACTGGCTCTGGGGCCCACCCAACCTCCTATCAAATGGCGACCGGGGGCTCTTTCCTCGACGGTAAAGCCGACGGGACGTAAAGCTGACCACTCACCTCCAGCTAATGCCGAGGTCAAGAAAATGTTGATCTATAGATCCACTGGCCCATACGCCTTCACGGCGTATTGCTTAATTAGTTAAACACAAGGACAACTTTACCTTACCTTTAACAGCAGCACTGTGGTGGTGGCCAGTGTAGGTGTTTAGGCCAATTCTGATATACTGTTTCGAAACAGTACGTGATTTAACATGCACATTGTTCATGTGAACCTAATTATATACAATGCGTGACAATAAAGTTCGCGAACTCGCCACCGTGTGCTTGCTGTAGCGGCAGTGGACAGAGACCTCAGTACGGGTTGATGACGTTGGGATACCACGTTTACTACTTGAAAGCACTGAAAGGGTTGCGTGAAAAAGTTAGTCGCAAACGACCCGAACTTTTTTCCAACAACTCGTGAATATCGCATCACGACAACGCACCTACTCACGCGGCACTGCCTGTGAGGAAGCCTGTAGCTAATAAAGCAAATAACCGTGCTGGGACACCCTCCCTATTCACGAGATCTAGCCCACAGTGACTTTTTTCTGTTCCACAAGATAAAGAGAACATTGAAAGGAAGACATCTTGATGACATTGATGACATCAGGAGTTCCAGAACTTTATTGTCAGATGACGTACGTTATCATATGTATATCACGTGTGACATTACTTCCAAACGCTCAATTTCCCCGTTATGCTGCCATCTTGAGATTGGTACTGAGTACTATAAGACATATGAAGATTATATATCAATTTTTATTGGGGTTCCATTGATTTTCTTATGGACGAAATATTGGGGAAGAAACTGACGGTTAGTTGAATGAGGCATGTAACAGCAAAAGTAACAATCTTGCAGATGTGTTATCTCCACGAATAACATTTTTTGCCTTACCATTTTTTTACTCTCAGTTTGGGAGAAACATCGTAGGACGAACGTTTGACTAAATATATGGATTAAATAATAGGTCTGTCATTTGCTATCCCTTTTGTATTAAATATTATATTTTAAATTTCCAGGAAAAAGCCAGCAACATGCTGTTCTTTGCCCCTACTCTCGAAAGAGGGGCACAGATGGGAGAAGAGGTGTTTCTCACAGGAAAACCACTTGACTTGCTGCAAGAGGGAAGATTTCACAAGGTTCCTTTCATCTCTGGCATTACTTCGCATGAAGGGATGCTTATTATGAGAGGTAAGCATACAGCCGCGGTGACCTTGAAATATAGTTTTGAACAATCTCAGTGGCATCACGTAATAAATAGCCGTAAAGCCGTAAGCGTCTTCTGATAAGCCAGCGACTGATATGCCTTGTGAATGGATGGTTGGATAGCCGACCTTTGGAATGACTATGTTCAATAGGGGCGACGACAGACTTGGCAGCAGCAGGCCATTGTAAGTTCTTTCTCTCGAAGTGCAATGTAGAATTGCAGAAGTTAATGGGGAGGTCTTGTCTGTCCCCATCGTCCACAGTAAAACAATGTGCTTTCCGGCTGCGACCGTCACGTCAGGCTGCTGATCTCGACTGAGATCCTGCATCCATGTTCATATTCTGCCTCGACTTAACTCTCTATTTTAACATCTTGCGCAAACTAAGACTGTACTTAATACACTCTTCCTCCAATCCACCTAACCTTGTATTTCGTACATGGTGCAGATACTAGCATATACTCGTAGTTTTGTAGTAAATCAAAATCTCAATAGAATTCGGTGGTAAATTCGAATTTAGAATTTAGATGTGGTGTTAACCGACGTTTCGGAGGAGTCTGCTTGTACCGGTTCTCACGGTCTCTTCGCTTGAGGATTTTCTTATTTTTCCTTCTACCCTGAAGATGGAGGCGATACGTTCCTCCGAAACGTCGGTTAAACCACATGTACACGGTGCCACATCCCAGAAGACTGCTTTCTTCAAATATTCGCGGAGGTTAACACGACCTACGTGTAGATCCAAAGTACAGAATTCTGTAAATCTCTGTTCAACATAATTGCCGTTTCGTTGGAAAGCTGAAAGAAGAGTTTCAACTCAAGAAAAGCTGCCATCTTCATTTCATAGGACTGAAATGCCCTTATCCAAAGCGAGACTTGAGGTAGGCACAATATGTGTAATTACATCTTTCATTCAGTTCCCTCCACTTTCATTGTTAATAAATTATTGTTAACGCAAAACAATCAGCGTATTATGTCTTTAGCACAATCAAATTTTGTCTTCAATTAATACTGATAAATAGTAAGTAACTGAACATGTAAACCCGGGTGAACTGCCATTTTATGCAGGGGAGGAGACGATGTTTTGACATCACGTTCTCCCAAACAGCTGAAGGTACTGTCTTCCTTTTGCAGCCTTGTTTAAAAATCCTACGCTCTTGAGTGGACTGAACAACAATTATGAATCCTTCATTCCACCCACAATGAAACTTGAGAAGAAAAGTGCCAAGTCTCAAGAAGTCGCCCTTAAAATAAAGGAATTCTACTTCGGAGATAAACCTGTTTCAAGAGAAACATTGCAGCCGTTGTTTGACGTAAGTAACATTAAAGTAAACATACTGCATACCCTATCATCATCATCATCATGCATGTACTCTACTGTCTGAGCGAGGAACGGCTAACATTGCCGCCCAGGTAGCGGAGCTAACGTTTCCGAACAGGCCGTCAGCAATTGCAGCCAGCCCTCACATAACTGATATTTTTGTCACAGATTAATCGAAAAGTAGTGAACGCAGGAGAGCCTAATTTTATTGTCAGTCAAATTGAAGGTGCTCTATCCAACAGTCACAAAACAATGTATAACTTTCCAGAACACTGTTCGGCCTCTCGTGACGTTCGTTACGCAGCTTCTGACTGTTAAGCTGCTCGACAATCGAAGAACCTATACATTTTACAGCTTCTCTTCACCCCAATCACTCTCCAGCCACCGTGAAGCCAGGTAATGCGTTGTGTGCCGGCCGGTTGGCTACTACTCTCTTATATGATTTCAATTCAGCCTTTGAAGCTGTTGGTAATTCTGGCATGTTTTTGAGTTCCTGCTTTCTGAGCTAGGCGTCTAAGGGGATTTCATCCAGTTTAATAACATTTCTCGTCAGTGAGCAGTCGGTATTTACGTTCGGTTCCCTCTGTGTGTGCGTGCGCCCGCAATAAGGACCACATCTCTCTCAATTTATATACGACTGTGAATAATTGTTCCATTTGGAAATATAAGAACCTGACATTTTCGTCGGAATCTACTTGTTCCGATGTGTGTCACACATGGAATGTAACAAGACTGACTGAATGTCTAAGTACAGTAGCAGAGGCTTGCGTCGGCACGTAACTCATAAGCCTGCTTCAAGGTTCTGGGGTTTATTCAAGTGATATGGAAGGAAATTATACAAAGCGTATAAGCATGCTGTGGTTCTTGTTATCTTTGTTTGTTTGTTTGTTTGTTTAAATCCGTTACTAGTCCGAATGCATGCGGACTGAGTTCAATCGAGGAGCGACTGTCTTTCCGCCTAAGCAGACGAACGCTTTTCGGGAAGCTGTCATGTGATCGCACTATAAAAATATGATCGATGGGTCATTTTCAGCTTTTCAGTGACATGTATTTCATCGTTGGAATTAAGAAGAGTATCGACTTGCAACTGAAGCATTCAGACACACCGATATACTTTTACCAGTTTTCATTTGACGAAAAGCTTGGACTGATTGAAAAGTATATTGGCGATTCTACTATACCAGGTATGGATTCCATTAAGGTAAATTGTTGTTGTTGTTGTTGTTGTTGGTGGTGGTGGTGGTTCACCGACTAAAATTATTAAAGAATGATTTCTCATACTGAGACATTAACATTCAGTTGCAAAGATAATGACTTCCGCGTTTTTCTTCAAGCGACGCTTTTTATTGCTAGTGGGGTGGGACTAAGTCCCTTGTACTGCGGCCACTTCTGGCCTACTGTACCAGCCCCAGATGATAGGTGAGGGTGATTGTGGAGCAATTGGTGGAATGAAGATTGGCAGGGGAAACCGAAGTACTCGGAGAAAACCTGCCCCAGCGCCACTTTGTCCACCACAAATCCCACTTGACCAGACCCGGGATCGAACCCGAGCCGCCGTGGTGGGAAGCCAGCAACTAATCGCTTGAGCGCTTGCAGTTCAGGCTATAAAAGACAAGAAATTGGTTTTCTGAAAGACTTCTTTCTGGGAGTATTGCACTCGATATGCAGACGAATTTGAATTGTGACTCGAAATTATTTTCTTTATATAAAGATGTAACTTGATGTCAGCTTCTGTTCAGAGCTCTGTGATTATTTTGCACATATTCATGCAATGATTTTGTCAAATATGGCTGATTTTTATAAAAAAGTTTTGTACTTAGTGCAGATGTACGCATCTCTTGTTCCTTTTACTTTCTGAGGTTCTTTTTTACGAATGATACAACGTTTTGGTTTATATTTCGTTTTTGAATATATGCAGTATTTGAGATCACAGTAAGTACTGATTCTCTGACTAGACGTAATAAGCAAAGTGGTAATGGTTCGCGATTCTATCAACAACAAAAAAAAAAAAAAGTGGCACCTATCTTAAGTATTGGAAGTACGGCTTGAAATTATACGTGGTCTAGAACAGAGCCTAGCCCAGAGGTTCCCAAAGTATGGGGCGCGCCCCCTCATGTGAGCAAATGTTGTTTGTGTGAAAAATTATTTTAAATGAAATATGGAGAAATATTTTTAAAATCCTTTCTGTTGTTTAGGTAGCTTAGTTGTCATATGACAGTACATAAATCAAACTCATAGAGCATCGGCGGTTTTGGGAAGTAAACAACAACAAAAATTTACATACTCTTATATTATATTATTAGAAAATATTTTCAGTATAGGTTGATGAAGCGACTGATTGTAGTGGCACTGGTCACTTGATAGCTTACACACGATATGTTGAAAACACAACAATTAATGAAGACATGTTTTTCTCCAAACCTATAAAAACCAGAACAACGGCAAAATAACTTTTCAAAATGCTGACGAAATCCTCCAGCGCTTTCTCCCCGGTCCATTCTGAACGCACCTTGGCACATAAACAACCACAGGATCTATGAAGATCTCCAAACGTAAACAGCGCTCAGTGAAATAAAAAAGTGGAATATCAAACACTTAAGAAAATTATGAAACCACACCAACGCACTAGCAGTGAACTTACTAGACAATAGCGAAACTACACGTAGACTGAGAAGATACACCGTCCAACTCTACCAGACAGACCTGAGTAAAACCCCAATATAAGAATTAAAATGATACCTAAGTGAACAAAGAAGAAGAGTACATGGGTTATGCCACTGGGCACAACTCGTTCACGAGTCAGTCCTTACTAAACATATATATTTACTTCAGATTCTGCAGCTGTGTAATAAATGTATGGAGAAAAGGAAAAAAATGTTGATTTTGTGAAAGAAAAAACATAAAATGGTCATACTGCTGCAGCTAGTGTGATGGCGGGAAGCAGGCAGCACCAGACTCTATGTGGGCGCATCGTGGATAGCTGAGTACGAGGGAATTATGGCCAGAACTGGGTGAAGAGACGGGTACAGCCGTCAAAACTTTCACTGCATAAAGAGTCATCTATCGAAAACAGACTTTTGCAGGATTATGTGAGGAAATATGGCCGCAGCATCCGTATCTTCTATTTTACTATAATTCTCGTTGGCTGTCAAGGGGAAAATGTTTCGTTCGTGTTTACAACTTGCAAGAAGGAGTAGCACTGTTTTTAGAAGATGGAAATATAGTACATGTTGAACATTTCGCAATGAACGTTTTATTTCTAAGTCAGCATCTTATCAGTCACACTGGACGGAGCAATCAGCACGCTTGAGTGGCATTTTGAGAAGTTCAGTTATCGAACCCAATTATGCAAGGGAACGATACATCACACTAGTGGCCAGCAGAGTGAAGACATTTATTGGGAAGCTAGGCTTGTGGGTCAGCAGAATTATAAGGCTTGAAGGTTTTTGGTGGAAAGCAGTGTGAACGAGCGGGAATAGAGCAGTGCATCAAATGCCAATTGGTCAATCTTCGGTCCAGGTTTTACTTAAGTATTTCAAGAAGCAGTAAGAGATAAATACAAATGGATCACTGATCTGTTCCATGTTGATTCGTCACAAAATTACGACTTTTCTCTCTTAAAAAAGAAAACTATATTGACATCATATGCAACACTTCTTCAGTTTCCTAGGAAGTCGGAACTTATAATTCTGGGTGGGTGTTTGAGAAGGGTTCCCTCACCTCAGCAGGAAAGCTTTGAACATCCTACCTATGTGAGACTGGATTTTTAGCAGTGGCAGCCATCAATCAAAGTATTTTCTATATAAACCTGGAAGACGGCCTTAGAGCGGCCATTTCAAAACTCAGAGCTCGGTATGATAAGTTCAAAGAGGAAACCACATCCGTCCCAGTAATCCTTTAAATTAAATGCACTGAATAATATATAGTAAATTATAAAACATGTAACTCATAGCTAAATATTAGGTGAACTCTGTTTTCATTTGTTCTGCAAGAGGGGAGTGAAATTTATGAAATGTTGTTCGGGGGGGGGCACATCGTGTAAAAGTTTGGTAACCTCTGTTCTACCCAAATAAATTCTGATAGTTCTTGAAAAGAACATAACATTTAATACTTAACAAATAATTTATGGGCTTACGCTGTTAGACACATAACAACAACAACAACAACAACAACAACAAAACCCTTCGAGATACAATTCTAGTTCTATAATTTTCTATAAGCCATGTAGACCTAACTGTATAATCTATTGCTTGCGCAAAATAAGTACCATGAATGGAGACATCCATTCTCCCTTTCGTATTTCACCTCCTAATTTGTTAACTTATTTGTATTACATTTATAGTCTACACGAAAAGTTATTAAGCGAATTCAGTTATCTAAAATCTCTGTGTTATATGAGGGCTAAATAAAATGCCACATTTCTCAAAAAGGGGAAATCCTAAAAGAAATTACTAAAAGACCAAGAAATAAATCATTAAGACCAACATTCTTACTGGAAATATTTTTTGATACACACCCAGTGAAAACTTAGCTAAATGCAAAGCAAAACAATTTCTGGCACTGCAGTGGAAAAACTGAATTTTTCTGTGCAGGCCACAAAAGGCCAATGGGAAACGGTAAACAGCAGCAGCAGCAGCAAAAGGTGCTTTTGGAAAATGTGTTCAATGTGCACTGGGCACATCCTTCCTCCAAATAGTGTTCTGTTGTTGCACGCAGTGTATCCTGGTTTCAGGTGTCTGTCATGGCGCCGAAGTAGCATACCTGTTCAAAGGATTTTACATTGACGAAGCCAAGCTCAGTCCGGATACAGATTACATGAAGACTGTGTTTCGAATGGTGAAGTTGTGGACGAACTTTGCTAAAACCGGGTAAGTTATTACGAAAGTTAAAAGTTAAGATGTTGACAGAGAGAAAATTGTCTTAATTTGCATTCTCAAAATTGCAAAACACCGTGCTTGCATTTCACGAAACAGGACTACCTGCTTTCGTATGGAAAATTCCCGTTTTGAATGAATGCATACGAGAGGGTGCGCTGGTTCACTGGTTCTCTTCTCCAGGTGATCACTGGGATTTCTAGCAGTAGGAGAGGGGCTGGTTCCAATTTGTTAACAGAAGGGGGAGGGGAGGTCCCCCCCTACTTCCCCCGGTGTTGAGCGTTTTTATGGCTCCATTCTTTTCAAAGGCGCATAAAATATACAATGGGAAGACGTGTCCATGCACCTGAAAGTTTCATATCCTTTAATTACTTTGTACATGTACTAATTTTTGCGCTGTAGCAGTATACACTAAAGTGTTGGGGGCCGCATTTTATTTAATTCTTATCGGACCAATACAATCATAAAGGTATCCCTGTAACAGGCAGCGGAGGCCCATAGGTTTGTGAGACGTTGAGGGTTCCACATTATCTAGACAGTCGGCTCATAGATGGCGGTGAGGTTGTCAGCCTTACGCGCCGGTCGGCCTTTACCCCCAAGAAGATTCCTGGTACTCATTTCTGTTAGAGAATGAGTCGATCCCACGGCCATAGTGCGGCTGGAAAGATTAGGCCAATTGAAAAATCCAGTGACCTCATCGGGAATCGAACCCGCTACCTTCCGAAATGCATTAGCACTAGTTACAACTAAGTTGATCACTGGAAAGTTTCCGGTTGATATCTTCTTCATATTAACCTGAGCTTGTTTAAATGTGCATGTACTCAGAGCCAGGCGAGGTGTGGGAAGGCAGACCTACAAGTGGGCTAGGATAACAGTTCTGGCTCTGCCGTAAATGGAACCCCAGGCACTCCCGATGTTGCTCGATATTTTAATGGCTAGAATTGCACGGCTCAAAAAAATCAAGCTTGGTAGTAGAAAAAAGGCAGCTCCTTTCTCTCCGGGTGTAAATTCGTAAAGTTGATGCAGCATCGTCTAACAGTTTGAGTGCATTTTCAGAAACCCGACTCCGGGGCCCGATCCCTCCCTGGGAGTGACCTGGATCCCGGTCACGGAGACGGAACTGAATTATCTGAACATTGACAAGGAACTGACTATGCAAAAGGATCTCGCGAAGGACCGTGTGGCCTTCTGGGAAGAGCTTCAATCATCGCTATGATAAACTGTGAACTCTAGTGCTAAAAATGTAGGTAGCTTCCAAATAAATACATGAAGACGTCAAGAGTGAAGCCAAAATGAGCATAGGATACTGCTACATTCACACAAGGGTGCTGTATGTCCGTCCCAATATATATGGAGTTTACTCGACTTCGAAGCCTTCAAATTGTGCCGAATGAGGTCCTAAAACACTGTCCCTCACTGCTACTGCTATTACGAAGAGAGGAACATTCTAATATGCGGCAGAAAATCACTGGGTGGCTCCTGTTTCTCTCTTCGTAATAGCAGAGGGACAGTGTTTTAGGACCTGATTCGGCACAATTTGAATTCTAGGTAGCTGTCTTTGTAAAGATTAATTGAATGAAAGAGCAGTCATTTTTCTAAAAATTCACACATTCACAATATATAGACCTAACCGTTTGTGTTTTTCTTTGCACCCATGACTGACCATCTAAAGTAATTAGTGCAGAATACACGTAAATTACACTTAACATTCTGCACATCTGTATTTACATTGTGAGCCACTAATTCCAACTACGGTCTATTCTTGTTCACATTCCCAATCGCAGGGTTCCGTGGAAAGTAGTTTTGGGAATCATGAAATGTAATATTAAGTTATTATTATTATATTTCTCACACAGATTGTGATATTTGTCGTCAATAACCAACCACAGGCCTACAAAATGAATTTCAGAATTGATGTTGCGGCAGTTGCTGTCAAGACGACGCTGACAATACAACAATGCTCCAATAAATCCTCATCATGTCTGAAATTATGCTTATAATTGGGCCATCCGGTTTGGCTCTGCTTTCATTTTCCTTCAAGGATTAGACGCAGTTGACAAGTATCAAAATAAATATAGATCTGCGTGAAGAAAACTGCGAGTGAGTCATTCATTTTTAATGAATTAGTGCCTATGTATTTTCTCTAGCTTGTTGTACAGTTGTTAGTGTTCGTATGATATTGTTCTCAGGGATACCTTAGTTTAGTTCTCACTGTTATCGTGGTTATGTTCATTTTATAATTTGCTGTATGTTCAGCTGTAGATACACTATGTAGAAAGTAGTGCAATTACACGATGTACACCAAACTGTTATTATCTCCTTACACTAACATCTGGTATTGTCACGATTTGTGCGTGACTGTAGACAGGGTCTGGANTGTTGTACAGTTGTTAGTGTTCGTATGATATTGTTCTCAGGGATACCTTAGTTTAGTTCTCACTGTTATCGTGGTTATGTTCATTTTATAATTTGCTGTATGTTCAGCTGTAGATACAACTATGTAGAAAGTAGTGCAATTACACGATGTACACCAAACTGTCATTATCTCCTTACACTAACATCTGGTATTGTAACGATTTGTGCGTGACTGTAGACAGGGTCTGGGTTGCTGGATGGATTTACTGACCGCTTGTACACACCACTCGGAGCTACAAGTAACTGCAGCGCTAATCTGCACATTTGTAACATCATCACAGCACCCCCTAAGCCTTCTCCCAGCTTGCTGTCTCTTCATAAGCCGTTCCCTGGCAGCGGCTTCCAATAGTGGAGATTCTTCAGCTTCACGCTCTCAGGTTCCCACGAGTGAACTTGGCGCTAAGGATAACAGTCCTACCTCTCCTTCCATCCATGCAACCGCTTTTCTGTGCACAAGGAACGTCTGAGCCAATCAAAATAGCATACGCGACTGAGAGACGAGCACCATAGCAGTGCTCAAACTTGATGGCTAGAAAGTGGCTGAATGCATCATACGAAGTTTTCACAACAAGCGTTGCTAACCATCACAGGTTCAGAATCTGTAAGCCCGTTAAGACTGTCCATCTGGCAGGCCCATAGAGAAGCTGGTCTTAACCGACTTAGTCAAGATATTATATGGAATGTAAACCTAATTACCGTGTTTATACGGGACAATTTGAGGCGATCTGCGTTCACTGTGCCTTCTCAGCCGCATGTCCCTGCAGACCTCACCTAGCTGCGGTGGGAGGCACGCAGGTCTGAGCGTCTTTACCGCCTTGTATTTTCAATGAAGTTAGAGAATTCCGTGAAACCTTGTATGTACACCATGTCATTGCCAACCGCCTTTTGAAATTCAAATCCTTGTCGTCAGTAATACACTGACAGCCATGTACGTTTCTGAGATTGGGGAAACAGCGTCGCCATTCAAATGCACGGTCTTACACTTCTGTGTGATAACAGAGTTTCAAAATACGTACTTAACGTTATTCACTTTTAGTACTGATGTAAAACAACATGGCGCCAGGTAGTCACACCTCTGCTTGCTGGCGACAGTTAATGAACCATTGGAGCCACGCTTGGCAGCAGTTTTAATTAAGCCCCACATCATAAAAGCACAGTACTGGGCAAGTTAGCTCAGTTGGCTACACTTCTGGCTTTTATTCGGAAGGAGCTTAGTTCGAATCCCAGCCTCGGAGACCCAATATCCTTGGTATATTCCTTGCAATCTTAGGTGAATGCAGGGATAGTACAGTCGACTGTGCCACGACTGGGCCCTCCCCGTCCTCTAATGAACCTACTATCTGGCGTTAGGCGGTCTGAGCTGTTGACAGTAGTTACATGAATACACAAACAAAGGCCGCGCAATTTCATGCAATCTTCACGTCGGCATCAAGTGGAGGTAAGTGAGCAGTGACACAAAAGCCACTTTTCTACAAGGGAAACACTGCCGCACGGTGGGTCCCCCGCGCCCGTCTGAATGCGGCGGCAGACGTTGCGTGCCTCGAGTCGAACTCTGTCGCCCAGCATATAGCCTGATCATCACACTGGCTGAGGTACGCCGGCCCGGCTCCTCACAAAAATTGCACACATGGCGACTGCAGAAGTTGAGGTCTTCCCTTATCTGTATCTGGTACTCGTCACAAGGTGTGAACCAATTATGCACCAGACAGACCTACGTAACACCCAAATACAATAATTAAAATGATGTCTTAAGTGAATAAAAAGAATCTTCAGGAATGAATCCTGTTGTGTTCATGTATAACAAACGTTTTTATCCGTCACAACACAACAACTCATTGACTTCAAGCGTGGGTGGCGAGTTTATTGATCTTAGTGGTATAACTTGTTCCTTGACTTAACTCGAGCTGATACATGTGGCAAGTTATACCACTAAAATCAGTAAACTCGTATGAATTAAACTATTGAGGGTTGTTGTGCTGTGACGAATAAAAGCATTCTTTATGAGCAAAGAAGAAGAGTTATATGAGTTACGCCACAGGGCACAACTCATTCACGAGCCAGTACTTATTGAACATAAACATTCATGGCAGATTCTGTAGGTTATGTACAATAAATGTGTGGAAGAAATTGTAATTCCTCTAGTATGCCTATGCAGATTAAAGGGTGCCTACAAAGGAAGGTTGGTGTCGTAATGCCCTTCAAGAACTTCTTCTTTATGAACGTGTTATCGGAAGAAATATTTTTCAGCATTATAAACACTCAGGCGCTTCATGACTTGTAGCTACTGTACAACAGATATTATTAGGACGATGGAATAACTGGGTCATGACGTACGCTTGATAGAATCGCAAATGCATAGTAGTCGGAAACCCTAAAGGAAATTATCTGCTTGGGAGATCAAGGACCAGATATGAGGATAAGAAGATATACACGTGTTCTATGTAGACTTACTGTGCCTGGCCCAGGATTGAGTATAGTGGCGGGCTCCTGTGAAAGTTGTAATGAACCGTCGGTTACTGTAAGAGAAGGAAGACTTCTTGATTCACTGAACGACCATCAGTTTCCCAAGAATACCTCTGCTCCATCTAGTTAGTGCAGTAAATGTGATAATTGTAACACTCACATGCATCTTAGTTAGTTATTGGAGAGAGTGGGTTTCCCCATGCACTTAGACCTGTATTGGTCCATTGTGCTTCCCTCTATGATATTCTACCAGTCACTATATCCTACCGGTATTGGTGCTTACCATCAGTCCCGACCGAGCCAGCGAGTTCGGCCTCCACTAGCTGGCGGTATCTATAATGCTT